ATGCAAAGAACCTTTTAAGCAGTAAAAGGCTCTATATAGAACTCAGTGTTCCAATAGAGCCATTGCTAAAGTCTATAGTGTTTTAAGTGTATAGCTTTATAGAAATTATTATAACATCATATTATTTCATTCAAATATGTCTAAAAGTATCCAGACAGCTGTGTCTTATTAATGAATTCAACTTCTTTAAGGTGCACCCATTATTGATACAGGTGTTTAGTTGTGCACATAGCTTGTACACACAAAAGCATTGCCAATAGAACAGGATGCTCTGGGGCAGCTACATGGTTCTTTAGGGAACTAAAATGGTTCTTCTATGGCATTGCTTAAAGAATCCTTTATGGCTCCTTTTTTTAAAAAAGGTCGTCCAATACCACATGCTGGCAAGAGGGGTACAAAGCCCCCCTGCATTGGGCTGTAGAGCAGTGGAACTGCTTTCCCTGGAGTGATGGAGATTCACCCAATACCTTTGGAATGAGCTGGAGTGGCCTTTGTGATCCAGAACAAATCATCCAGCATCAACAAACTGACCTCACTAATGTTGATTGGAATAAAATCCTCACAGCAATGTTCCATTACATCTAGTGTAGAGTCTTCCCAGAGGTTTAGATGCTGTTCCTGCTACAAAAGAGGAATAAACTCACTAGAAATTTGATGTGTCTTTTGGACAAATAGTGTAGTTTCAATGCTGCTTTTCTCTGTATAGTATAATTTCTATACTTTATCTGATTACAGAGGAGTAGTATAGTTAAGTTTAGTAGAAGTAGATTAGCAGAAGTAGATTAGCAGAGCTGTGGAGAGTGATTAGAGAGTGAGTTCTGTTCATTTGTCTGGGAGAAGGGTATGTGTGCGTGTGTGAGCCTATGATAAATGATCTTGTATTTTCTTTTGCTGATGCTCTGGGGGTTTTAAGAGGCGGTACAGGCACATGTGGGACTCATCAGTCACAGGTTTGGGCATTTTCCCTCTGGCCCTGCATCCCCCGCTCCTGTCATTTATAACCCTGCAATACACTCTCCACCTCTCACCACCAGCTACCCCATACTCCCCTGTAACATCAGCTGCCCTAAACTTCCATGTTCCAGACCCTCACCACATTTCAGCTGTAATACCCATCTCTCAATTCATCTACTACATTCATTTGCTACATTAGATTTATCGGCTTTTACATGTATCGGCAACTATGTCCAAAAGTTTGTAGATACCTGCTCATCCTTTCTTCTGAAATCAAGGGTATTATAGAGAGTTTGTCCCCATTTGCTGCAGTAACAGCCTCTACTCCTCTGGGAAGGCTTTACACTAGATTTTGGACCATTGGTGTGAGGATTTGATTGCATTCAGCCACAAGAGCATTAGCGAGGTCAGGTACTGATGTTGGATGGTTAATTCTTGATCACAAATGCCACTCCACTTCATCCCAAAGGTATTGGATGAAGCTTCATCATTCACACTGCAGTTCCACTGCTCCACAGCCCAGCACTTCCTTTATTACATTTATACCCTTCTAGCTAGCATTTGGCATTAGGCATGGTCACTATTGGCTCATCTGCGGCCACTCTAGAGCGTCTCCCACTCTATTGTTTGTGTGCAATTGAACGCTGTGTTAGCAATGGGTGCACCTTAATGTAGCTAAATTCACAAATGAGAAGGCGTGTTTGAATAGTTTAGGACAGTGTTTCACAAATACGAATATCAATTGTATTTTCAGACAGTTTAAATGAAGAATTAATAAACCTTTTATGTAATCATTCAATATGTGCGAAGAGCTCAAGGAGGAACAGACAACAGGAAACTATTGAGAAAGATTCAAGACACTTCTATATATTGGCCACTTTGGCTCATACCTAAAACGTCCTCAGAGGGGTTTTAGATTACCATGTGTTACCACATTGTTTGTCTAATGTTTCTTCTAATGAGCTCTTATTAAACTCCCCAGCAGAGCAAATCATCGGTCATTCTGAGGCACAGCACAGAAAGGAAAACAATTCAAATGAATAATAAGAGTTTCAGCTGAGGACCTGGCTTTCTCGGAATTCTTCACTGAAGGCTTTTTCATTAGTTCCATCTCTCTCAGTGTAGTCTCCCAGGAACAACTGGGTGACATTACTGACAGGCCTCAAACTAAAGCCTTCCTGTTTATGTTGAAAAGGTCAGAGTAATTTATACTCATCTTGCTTTTGTCTATCCATCTCTCCCACTCAACAAGGCTTTGAAGTTCACAACCAAAATGGACCAAGCCAACCACACATACACAAAGGTTCACCACTTCTCTGTGTGTGTGTGTGTATGTGTGTGTTTATGCTCTTCATTTTAAAATTTCCAGTCAACAGATGTTCAACAGATAAAAATGACATCAAATTTTTCAGTATTTTTGTTTGTCCACAAAGTAAAATTAACTTTATGACAATGTCCATTTTATTCAGGGCACATGCTTTCAGCTTTGCAAAGAAATCAACCAAATGCAGGGATATTTTTCCACACCTCAAAAGTTCAGTCTTAGTAGTTGGTTGCATTTCCTGCTTCTTGTGGTTCAAGTAATCCCAATTACAAATTTAGACTCATCAACCTTATTCCACTTCAATCGTCCAGTTTCAGTGTTCTAGTGTGGCCTTTTTCTTCTTCTCAACAGCGACACATCCTTTCAGACTAGATATTGATATCAGATAGAATTGAGTTGTCCTCTTACAGTGGAGGGATGAACAGAAACACCTATGGATTTTTCAGATTTGAAGCAAGAGTGGAGCTTGATTATCTCTCAAAGATGAACGCTTGAAGTGCTGTTTATCTGCTGGTGACAGTTTTGGTGGTCTTGCATGGTTGTTGGGAGTCACATTTTATCAATATCCTTTAATCTTCAATTTGAATTTTCTGTTTTTTTCCCTTCAACTTTGCCCTTCCTTATGGAAGTATATTATTTTATATTTAATCTCCGCAGAAATATCTTCTGAAAATTTGGATTTAACAGGCGTGTTGGCATTCAATCAATGCAGATATGCGGTTCATCAGTCTGGATGCTATACAGCTTCCTCTTTTTCTACATCATTTTATTATCAGCTGCATTAATGAAATGAAGGGTGCCTTCCAACTTCTGCACAGTACTGTATGCATATAGTAGAAACATTTCATACAACCCACAACAGAAGGCCAAAAATGTTATTATATAGTGTTATCATTATAATGTATTAATATTGTCACAAATCATTTACAGACAGCTCTGAAGAAGTCATGTGATAGAACTGAACAGTTCCACAGCTTTGTCAAGTGCTTTTTGGAGGACACACAATCTCATCTTTTCAGTCGGCCAGCTACTTCTCGCTCCCAGGAGAAACTTTCTGCTTTAACAATCATCCTCTGCTTTGGCAGGCGGAAAATATTCCAGGCTCGCTCGTTAAATCATTTCTCCAAAGAGCTGCAGCATCATTTTTTGTTGTTTATTTGTTTCTGTGTTTGATCATCAGGTTTCATGTGTTTAAATCTCTTTAAGGCTTTTTTTTAATCACTGGGGAGCGCTGACCCAGCCAACTTCTGCTCACACAAGCCCTGACATTCATCACAAATATGTAGTTCAAGGTAAGATGGTTGACTTTTGCCCTCCTGAAGTCTGGGGAGGTGTATCGTGATGAAACCAGGATTTCATTCAGAAGGCTGCCTTTAATTATTTTACCAGATTAATTTCATAAATGTATAGTGTAATATTTCAGATTATAATCAGTGTCTATAGTATTTCAGGTCTCTGAAATATGTCAAATATGACACCGTTTACCAGCATTTCTCAAAAATTTGGACCTATTACAGTATAATAGGTCTAGTAATGATAACTTACAAGTTATTATAATTAGACCTATTATAGTGTAATTGCACATCAAAGTAGTGTGTTGAGATTCAATCAATGCTTCGATCTATAGAGATGAGATATAGGGAGTATTTTAGCATCTGTCTGGATGCTATGCATGCTTCCTATTTTTGTCATTTTATTATCAGCTGCAGATGTTTTTTATTCCTAATACAACAAAAATGTGATTTTTACAGCTTCCCACAAAGTGTTTGATAGTCTGCCTATTAAGCTGGATAATACCATTAGTGAAATATTAGAAACATTTAGCATAATTTTAGAAACATTTATTAGTATCCGCAACAAAATCTATTGTACATTACTGACATTTTTTCATCTTAAAATCATTGCCAGTCCGGCCTTAATTCACACTGCATGATTCTGAGAAGTGAACTCATGCTTTCAGTTTCCCACTTTTAGATTTTTGTTATGTATTCCTTGTAACTTAAAAAAACAAAAAAAACTAAATAACCTGGTCATTGTAAAAGTTTGAGTTCACTAAACTTCAAATATTAAAACACAAATTATTCTAGTGTTAACATAATAAGTTGACCTGGTTACTTTTCCTAATTTAAAAAGTTGCACCATTTTTAAAATCGTTATTCACTGGCTGACCCAAAAAGAGTATAAACAAACTAACCACACAGAAGCAAGAGAACTAACCTGAACACAGAAGAGTGAACGTTACTCCAGTACTGGCAGAACTTCATTGGGTTTTTTTCAATACAGAATACAATTCAAGGTCCTTTTGTTTGTTTTTAAAGCCATTAATGGACTAGCACCTTGCTATACCTCGGACTGCCTAACTGAATACGCTCCTCACTGATGTCCCAGTGCTTTTTTATGACGATTATGCAAAATTTATGTGTGCAACGGGATCCCTGTGTCAGCAAAGGGTTCACCTTGAGAGTAGCTGAATTCATGAACTAGAATATCCTTATTTATTTATTTATTTTTATTTTTTTTTTGTATGGGGATATCTGGGTACTTTTGGACAGAACGCACCTCACTGTTCCTGGTAGAACATTAGCAACTTGCTATCTATTTGAACACAAGTGGCAAAGTGACACAGTCGGAACAGAAGTAGGTAACCCTGGTAGTGTGAACCCCTTTGCGCAAACTGGACCGCAGCCCAGCTGTTTGGACTTCCTGGTCATCTGAGGTGGAGCGGAAGAGCTGAAAATCACTGCAACACACACATCCCTGCCGAGGCTCGCCGTTTCCACTGAGACGCACACAACCTTCAGGATTTCACACATCATCAGTCCTCTGAGTTGTAGCTGCGCTTTAAACAGAGGAACACTCTACACCACAGGAACAGGACAACACAGGTAACTTAGATACGGACCCCGCGGCGGCTCTGACGGTCTTCACGTATTCACACTCAGGCCTGTTCACTGTCTGTGCTTAATACAGGGTAGTAGCTGCGCAGCTGTGCTCGTCTGTTTCCTTGACTTGTCTCCTCTCTTTTCTGCCTGTTTTATTTCTCATGGCATCTTTTACTGTTCAGCATGACGTTTCAGCGAGTAAGACAGTAAGCTGGAGAGTTAGCGAGCTAAATAATGTGTAATAGCCAGTCATAACTTAGTCAGAGCCAGTCCCTGTTTGACAGGTAGCTAGGTAGCTAACCTAGTTAGCCAGCCAGCTAGCAGCAGCAATTAGCTAGGCGTCTATTATAATAGGACCACCAGCCTCTGTGCTTCGACAAAACAGCTGTTTTTGGGTGCTGTGGATGCTGCTAACATTTCCTCTCTAAATCTGAAGTGTCACTGTCTAATCTTGCTTTATCATGTCAACTGTAATCGGCGTTGTTGATCAAGTTTAGCATAGCTAACTAGCTAACATTAGCACCTACACTGGTCTCTGTCTCTGAGCTCACTGACAAAGCTAAGCTAGCTAGGTTAGCTAACTGAATTCACCGGGCATGTTATTCTCTGACAGATGTCTTGCTCAGGAAAACCGTTAAAAAGCAGGTTATCTAGCAGATAGAATCGCCTAGCTAGCTTAACTTGACTAGCATTAGCTAACCAGTTCAGGCATGAGACATACTGACCGATTAGATTAACGTTAGGTGTTCTAGAAATTGAAATGGGTCATGCTGTCACACATTTTCATCTGTCAGCTCTGGTGAGGATGCTTCTGGCTCTGACTGGTGAATGCAAATGCATTTGTCAGGGAATCATACATTGGCTTCATACTCTTTTGTTTATTCCCTGTCTGACAAAACCTTTATAGCCCTGATTTAAACATTATTGTTTTACATAGATAGATAGATAGATAGATAGATAGATACTATATTGATCCCGAAGGAAATTTAGCAGCCAGTAGCAGTCACACAACACAGGACAGTAATAGTAATAAGGGTGTAAACAATATAACAGAAAGAATAAATATAAAAAATTCTATCTACAGGTATATATACAAATAGAAATATACAAAAATCTGGAATAATATCTGTAACCTGAGATGAAAGACACAGTGCAATAATGACTGTACAAGGAGGCGGAGGTAATGGCATATAATGACAATACTGAATAAATATGTGCAGATATTGGTACCAAAATAAAGTGTCTAGTGTGGAGTGTCCAGATGTGCAAGATGCGCAATAAGGTGTGCAGAAAGTGCAATATGTGCAGTAAGGTGTCCATATGTGCAGATGGATAAAAAGAAACATAGGATTTAGCATGAGATATAGAGCTATGATTTGTGATTTAACATGAGATTCAGATTCAGTCCTCATCTCTCCTCTTCCCTCTTCTCTTCTGGCCTCCTGGGAAGAGTTGAAGAGCCTGATGGCTCTGGGGACAAAGGATTTCCTTAATCTGTCGGTTGAGCAGCTCTGTGACAGCAGCCTGCCACTAAACATGCTCCTCCTGTCCATAATGATGGTGTGCAGTGGGTGGCCATCATCCTCCATAATGGAGAGCAGTTTGTGTAATGTCCTTCTCTCAGCCACCTTGACCACAGAGTCCAGTTCCACACCGACCACTGACCCCGCTCACCTGACCAGCTTGTCCAGTCGCATCTCGTCTCTCTTTTTCATGCTTCCGCCCCAGCACAGTTTGTTGTGCAGTCACTGATTTACCACAGTATTAGTTTTGATTTGTGAGATGCCCGTGTGGGCATCTCACAAATCAGAAAAAAACAATCAAAACTGTAGCGAAATTTTAAAGTGGTATCATTGATACTCCTCTCAGTCTCCTCCAACATCATCTTTCATTTGGTGTCTTCAAAACATGAAAAATTATAATAGTAACTAGGTTATAGTTAATGCTTAATGTCTGTCTCATATATCTTGCACTTATTTTCATTGGGTTTTGTGAAATCATGATATCTCAGTTTTGGAGGATTAAGTGCTCAGTTGCACTGGATTTTAGCAAGAATCAAATCCTGTCAAACCTGAAGATATGTGTATTGTAACAGCAGTAGTGATCGCACATTTTAGCATATCCTGTGCAAATGCAGTGCGTTCAGTGTTTATCCTTTTGTGGCACTGACTAAACAGGGCACTGGGGTTAGCAGGGTTCGGTCTCTCTAGAAGATTCTCCATCATCTCACTGTCCATCCTGCATTTTCTCTCACCAATTGATTCCCCATCCATGTGACCATTTCATGTTTTGTTCATCAGTTTCCATGCTGTTTTATGTCAATGATATTGATATTCTTTCCACGTTGAGCTCTGATAACGACTCTTTCGGTAGTTTTGGCAGCTGCAGTGAATGTTAAATATGTTTATGGTCATTGTGGATTATTGCCTGCTGCTGTCTCTTTTTACAGTTGCTACAATTGCTTCTGCCTTTGTTGCTTTCTTTTCCTCTCTCATGCATCTTTTATCTTTAACCCAACTCTGTCTCTCTTTCCTTTTTTCTTGCTCTCTTTCCCCTCTTCCTGCCTGCTTTTCCCGCTAGACCCTGCTTATCCCCACCCTCTCTCTTTCTTTCCTCTTCTCCTGATTTCTGGATCGTGGTTGTGGCCCGCGGAGAGCCTGTTTTCCAACCGCTTTTCCAGCACAGCAAGCAGAAATCAGTCTCTGAGAGAGGATCGTGACTCAATGGTATCATACCACTCTACTGAATTTGGGTTGAGGGCGTGAGGGTGGGGGGTCAGAGTAACATTGTCTTATTGTGAGATAAAAGATTGAGGATGAAAAAGTGTGAATAACATCTACAGGGCTTGAAATAGTTGCACATCTGATGGAAATTTTACATCACCAGTAGAAACATTTGTTATTATTACATGTGATTTTGTCAGAGCAAGAAATTAATGATTGGTGTAATACAGCAGATTTGGAAGGTCAAATATAGTACTGTAGACCTTCAAGTACTGGTAGCCTTTCTGACAACCCTCAAATACTTAATTAACAGGCTTCTAGTGGTGCTCTGTTGGCAAGGGGTGCTGCACCATTTGAGGTGGAACAGGAAATTTAGCTAGCTAGCTACCGAAACATCAGCATACTCGTGATTTTTCATGCTTTTTCAAAACTGGGGCACCCTTCCCCTAAGTGTGAATGCGCAAAACAGAGAGCTAAGGGTTAAGTGGTAGGGGCAAGGGATGAAATGGGACTGGGCCTTTTGAATAAGACTGTCAAAGTCTTGGGGCCTTATTTTTAAAACATACTTAAGATTCATTCTTAATTTGTTCTTAAGCATTTGTGTATGATTTATTTATAAAAAATAAAATACAGTGTCCATAAATCACTCACTGTAATACTGTAGCACACTCGCACTCACACTGTCAAATGTTTGTGCACTAGGTTTAAAACGTACACATGTTCTTGTCATTTAAACCTGTATTTTCACATACAGTCATTTTAAAGTCAGATTTGTACAAGCAAATGTTTTACAAAAGAGGCCCCTGTTTCTTTGACATGGGTCTGTAAAAGCAGTCCAGTGACTATGAGAAATATTTATTACAGGCTCTGTATGGCGGTTAAAGCTGCAAGATCTTAGGTCCTTACATGAAAGACTCCTGGGACAGCAAAAGCCTTTCGAGAGAGGCTCTAAAATGACGCTACTCAGTAAACTGATATCTGTGCAGAATGCCTTTCACATTGGTTCTTAAATTGCCATTGCCAAGTGGGTTAACTACTGTGTTTGATGGGCTTCACCTGTAAAGCAATGCGTGTAGCTTTAGCACCTGTAGCTAAGCTGTCAAATAAATGCCTAGTAGTTAACCCAAGGCAGCATGAAGACATTTCCAGAACTAGCACTTCTCTTCAGAGCTGTATTTTAAAGGCCTTTGTAGGCCTGCCACAATAACTACATAATTGCCTGATTGCCATTGTTTGAGCCAGTTGCAATGATTTAAGCTGACTGCGATTGTTTTCTGCAGTCGTTAATAAGAGTTCACAGTCTTACTTCACAACAAGCACAATGTGAATTGAGTTCATTGGGTTGAAGCACAGAAATGTAAGTTAAAGATAATTACGTTTATTGATGTTATGGATCTTACAAAAACAGCAAAAGTTCTGACTTCTAGCTTTACACCAAGTAGTGTTTGTTTATTTATTAGTTAGGTAGTTTTTTGCACATATTTTCCTAATCTTGAAAAATACACGGTTGGCTTGACTCTATATATGATTCTGTGTAACTGTACATTTTCCTTTACTGTATACATGGACAGTATATCGTTTTGTTAGGACAGTATTATTAGCTATGAAGCAGGCTAAAAAGATTTTGACCACTTTAGGCCCTTACTTCAATTGTTGCATAAATTGAACAAAAAAAAATTATTAAATGCAGTTATTACAGTTAATCGTCAGCTAAAACTTCATGATCTTGACAGACCTAATCATGTGCTAATTTGAAGCTTTGTGGTACATATTTGAGGATTGCAAATCTATGCTGTTGCGCATGTTGTGTGCAGTCTGTCAATGTTTTTCTCCTGTGCTCCTGCAGAGGGAGCCAGAGAGGGAGGAGCAGCCCGACACCAGCATGCCTCCCAAATTCAAAAGGCACTTAAATGATGATGAGGTCACCGGCTCTATACGCAGCGAGAGGGTAAGAGATGCCACACTGTATGATGTATGATACTAAGACGAGTAGGAGCGTGTAGAGCTCTAAAAGCTATAAATCTTTTCGCATTATGAGTGAAAAAAGGCAATACAAGTACGAAATTAAGTTAGAGTTAGAATTTCTGAAATTAGAAATTTTAGGATTGATTGTAGTCTTAGAATCGGTTATAATAATATTCAATAGTACTCAAAGTATACATTCATTTTTGTTTAACGTTTTCAGACATATTTTAAATGTAAATATACCTTCACTCTAATTTGCACATCTGATGTGCAGTATGACTGAGCTTTCTCCGTGTAATGAGGGAGGATAGCTTTTAGTTTATGGAACCAAACAAACGTATGTGTGCACCAAATGTAAGAGGACACTCCTGCAGTTGAATGGTATGTTGTATGAAAAACACCAGCCATTTATAGTGGCAGCCGATGGAACCGTCTGTATAGGTAAATCTTTCATAGGAAAGGCTGTAAAAATGTCTGGATTACTTTTTTAGAGTGTTTTTTTAAAAGGAATGCTGCCACTTTGCCACTTACAGAGAGAAGTGTCCAGAAACGGCATCATTTCTAAATGGAAAGTGCTTGAACAGCTTTACATGGCAGAGACACTTGATCTCTCGTAAATAAAATGAACAAAATTTCCGTATCATTGACTTTGTGAAATACACAACATTAGTGACGTTAAACTTGTACAACAACAGTTGTTTGCAGGAAATTATACATTACATAAGGCATTTTATTGCTAAAAGTCAATAAAAAGTTGTTATGATAAGATGAAAGCAACACTTTTAAAAGTGTTTTCATCTCATCATTTGCAGTTTGTGCAAGAAGTGGATGAAAAGGTCGCTCCTGAATTGATGTTAAATGTCTAATCACACTAAATGCACAGTTGTAAATGATCAGATTGAGTAAACAGCTTTAAATGTCTGATCAGACTGAATAAACAAAATGTCTGTATATCGTTGAAGCTTCTCATCAGGGTTGCCTGGCACTCTGCTTCCTGTCTGCGATGTGGGAGGACAAACAACATTAGACAGATTAATGGCTCTCATCACGCTCATTAACTCGGCCCTGCGTTTCCCTGTGATAGTTCCAGAAGGGGAAGCACAGAGCCTGTGTTACGTAACACACACGGACACTCACTTCTGTCCTCCTCCCACCAGTGCACCAGTAATGACTACCAGCCCAGTCTTGGGTCCTGATTGTTTTGCTCTTTCTCCCCTGTGTCTCTTTTTGGATCTGTCACCTTCTCCATGCATGTTTGTCCTTGAATTACCCACCCTTTACTTTTGTCCTAGTTGAGTGAGAATTGTCTCTCTTTTCTTTCAGATTTTCTCTTTTTCTTTCTGTATCACATGCTAATTCTTCCTGAATGAGTTCATTGAAAATCTAATTTACGGTTTTCACTAAAAGCTTGTATCCCACCAGTTAGGATCATATAAACCTCATACTGTCACCCATTTGAAACAAAGTTTGTCAAATTGTAAAGTAATTTCAATTGAACTTGGTTATGTAGTTTCTGGACCTATTACTGTTAACACTAAGAATAGACAAAACTTGTTGCGTAGTTCAGAACTTGTAACTCAGTAGTCGTAGCAGCCATTCTGAAGTCTGAATTTTGTACTTTTGTTCGTTTTCAGTTTCCAGGATGCTGATTAGTGGTTGTTTGTGCCCATTACCTATTGGCTATGTTAACCTCATAGCGTCAGAACAAAAACTAAAGAAGCAATGTTGACTGGCTGCCAACTCATTTGACATGGTGGTTCTGCTTTAATGGCAACAAAATGTTTGGTTCAACAGTTGTTCTTCTGGAAGTGATCGTCTCTAGTTTGGTAATACAGACGTCAACAGATTAACTGAGATCTCTTTTGTCTTCAGTTTGAGAAATGAGTAACAGTTCGTTCGTTCTTTCCATCAAACTCTTGGGAATCTGGGCAAATTTTTAGATTACAAATATGCTACGGTACATTGTAAAGTTTTTCAGCAATATCCTGGGCATAGTAACTGTTGCTAGGCTATGAAGGACAAACTAGGTGAACCAATTTACTACAGTGCCACAGTGTTACAACAGTGTTACTTTATTTTCAGGGATCCCCCAGAATTTTGATTTTGAGACATTTAGGGGGTCCTAGAGGTTAATTGGGAATCCTCGACCCCCTAGGACCCCCTGTATTTTGTAGCTTGGTTGTATATGATATCACGTAGTATTTTTGAAATGGGTTCTGAATAGCACCAAAAAGGGTTCTACTATTGCTACAATGTCAAGATTGTAGCAACAGAAGAACACTGTTTGGTGATATATAGAGCTCTTTTCAAAAAAGAGGCAATATTAATGGTCCAAATTTTCTTGGAATAAAATTTTGTTACATTAACTTAAGACTGCTTTTTTCCCCTCTCCTGTAAATAAACAGTGTTGGAGATAAAAGGCTTTGTTCTGACTGTGATAATATAGTGTGTGTATGTGACTTAAGAAAAATAACTTAAATATTGCAGGTTGGAAGGAAGCAATCCAAGAAAAATCGACTTATTTTTTTTCTTCAAAAAGAATATTAAGAAAAGCCCTGATGCAACGGGGCTGCGTAAGAGCTCATTCTCTGTATCTGTCAGTACTCATTAGTCTGATGCTTGTAAACTAATGTGAACATCTTCATTTGCCACCACTTTTCTCAGATGACATCTCATGGAAAAGCTTTGCTTATGCAGAAACCATAATAGGATTCTGTTGTCATCACTGTATTTGAGCGAGAAGTAACTGCAGTTCGTCATATCCAAAGAAAAATTTTCTCAGGTTTACCTCACAGAAATCCAAACAGCTTTGAAGACTAACTAACCTTTGGATAGTATAACCCTCAGGTGGTAGTTGCATAATCAGTGTTGATTTTTACACCATTCCACAATGGGAAGAATTTTTATGTTAAAACCTGTTTCCCTGGGAAATGCACCAGACTCACCACAGGATTTGGTGTCTGGGTGCACTTTGAGTTATGTAAGATCATCAGGATGTTGAGACACCCCAAACAGCCCTTAATCATATGTACTAATCAATCCCCTACAACATGTACTTAATCACAGTAGCACAAGTAAAACACTGTAAAAAGATAATGTTCGTCAAATGTGAACCAGATGTTTTCCTCCATTGATGTTACTGAAAGAAAAGTGGAGTTTCTAAATCTCTGTGGGCTACAAACAGATACTCATGAAACAAATAGCCCATACAAACAGCGTCTGCACGTGAGTTTCACAACAGCAGCCCGAGTCTCTCATGTTCTCTTGCACGTGCTACCCATGTTGTTGTAGACCGAGTCTGCATTTGAAGGTGTTAGCGACAGCAGAAAGCTATTAACCTTTGTGGAGGTATTTAATGAGGCTGTGAGAGTTGGCTCACTCTTACTTCCAACACCTGGACTCCTGTCAGGCAGAGAAGGAGATCAAAAAGCACTCTGAACTAGTTTAGATTGGTCTGACCCCTGACCTTCTCTTTGCACAGAGGAACCTGCTGGAGGAAGACTCTGATGAAGAAGAAGACTTTTTCCTGTGAGTTTTTCAATATTTTTATCAAATAGAGGTTAAATATCATACTTAAACTCTTTCAAATAAAATTGTGTTAAGTTGTATGACGGTACACCTTATTAATATGCCAGGTTATTAAAAAAACATGCTTTTTAAAGAATAATCTTTGATATTATGTTGCCTACTGTTAACAAAATATATAACTTTGTGAAAGAATTGTTTTTTATGTTTTGTGGTTTTTGTAAAAACTAAGTGCTAATAAGGATTCTTTTTAACAGAAGAGGACCAACTGGACCCAGATTTGGCCCCCAGAATGACAAAATTAGACAGTAAGTATTTTTCTTTTTTTTTTTCTTTTGGACGTTACACATGATTTTTCTTTTCACTCAAAAAATACGGATCCACGGTATTGATTCCATAGTGGATTAAAGGTTTTATCTGTATAGGGCCAATGTGGTTGCAGGTTTTCATTCCAATCATGCTGAAGCACACATGGTCAATTGACCATTTACAGAATTCCCAGAGTCCCACCTCACTTAGTTTTTGCTGTCAAACATTTGGCTACCTGGCATCTGTAACACCTGTGCTTACAGACCGGAAAGCTCAGTAACAGAAAGGAAAATTTTACATTTTCATAATCAAAAATAAACTGGCTTTATATATTCAGGGCAGACATACGTACTGGAAAACAGGCAAAATATGAATGCTGGCAAATTTAGAGGGAAAAGGATTCTCATTTACATATGTTTGCATTTGATCAAACGAGACATTACAAGACATTCTGAGCTTAGAAAGCTGCCTTTTTTAGATGAGCTAAATCTAACACTGGAATTAGTCCAAGCAACAGAGATGCTGAGGAGGACACACCATTTTGTGCACAATGTCTTTTAGCAAACTTTAATGAAATAGTAGAAATGATGGGTACAAGTGTATTAATATTTATCTTTACACAATGTTTTTAAATGCAGATGCAGGAACTGTACAGTCCTGTTTAATCTGACTAATTTATCAAGATAACTGTCAGCAGCTGTGTTCAGCTAAGCAGCAGAAAAGCTAACTTATTTAACTACTCTTAACATCTTTTTTACATTATTTGTTATTAAACATGGTACAAAAACTGTTTCAGCAAGACAGTAACCCAAATAAAGTTTAGCTCAGCTTAGAGCAACATGTGTTTGCCCGTTAGTGGTTTTGACACACAGATTCTCTCACAACTTTTGCAGCTTTGGGAATTAAATAAAAACAGTATCGCCAGTTGATCGGAATAGCGTGCATTTTAATTACATGTTCCTCAGCAACACATTTTCATATATCTTAGGCTAATAATGACTGATTTACTCCTGTTCTCACTGCAGGTTTGTTCTGATGAGTTTTATCGAAGGAAGGAAGTTTCATTTAGAGACCATTCTGATTGACTGAGAATGCTGCCAGTTGATTAAACAAGTAGAATTAAGTGTTCTGTTTATTTGCTATGAAAACCTGCGTCCACACCAGCCCTCTGTGGAGAAGATTAGACACAAGTGTGTGGAATATGCATCCCTGCAGTAAATAGTGGATTCTTCCTAGTTCATTGGAAGTGTTTTTGACCCTCTCCACACTCACATCTCCATCCTGATGACATTATGTAATACACTGCCTTCCAGTGATGGAGACACATTGTGGACAGACCTACAGAGCAGAAACTACATGTGAGCATTCACACACTGACTGTGAGACAGAAGGAAGTTATCATTTAGGATGCAGCAAAATATTTACAAATGAATAATACAAAACATCTGGGGGTGGGGGGGGGTCCTGCCCTGACCGGAGAAGTTTACGTTTGTGCATGCAGCTTACACTTTATTTTGGGTTTGGACTGTGCTGACAAGTTCCAGTAATCCTCCCCATGGACTTGTAGCAGTGATTTGGTTCAGCCCGTGCAGCCGCGCCACAAGCTGTTTTTATGTAACCCAGTGTGAGGCTTTCGTTCCATCTGCTCAGAACTTACACACTGAGGAAAACATTTAATGTTATTGAGAACTTACGGTGGCCCAAAGTTGGAGTCCACCTTTTTTTTATAGATGTGTTCCACAATTGCCCTCCACTCGTGGCCTGTTTTGGTTTTCCTAGGGTTGTTTTGCCAGGCTAATGGAGCGGGTAGTACATTGGTGCCCCTGCTGGGTGTGAGAAAGGTAGAAGGTGTTGGACACATGTGTTGGGCATACTCAGTGACCACCGGACTGAGACTTCTGTGCAGATGTAACAGACATAATGTTGGCAGTAGTTCATTCACAGGTTAGTCTAGACTTCTGCCAGAACCACAGGAGCTTTCACACCCCACAGGTGTGTCGGTGTTCTTGATCCGGATGTCAGCATGGATTGTTGTGCATCACGTGTAAGAGACCAAATATTATGTTATTTTGAGCACACCCTCATTTGCTGGGACCACATGGATCTCAGTGTAGTAATAATAGCAGGCAGGCCAGCTGGACTTACTGAAACCTAAGGGACTTTAATCAATTTAGAATTCAAGAGCTTATGATAAAAATGGTGACATTGGAAAACACTTGTGTTGACCACATTCATTTCTTTCTGTCAGGGTGCAGTCTCAGGTTGATGAGGTCATTGATGTGATGCAGGAAAACATCTCCAAGGTGATTGAGCGTGGAGAGCGTCTGGATGACCTGCAGGACAAATCCGGTGAGGAATGCAAGCCCCCACCACAGAATACGCAAACATTACACAGTGCAGAGATTCAAACTTGCAATCAGCATCAGTTGAATGGTATGAGAGATCAATCCTGAATTGACAGGTCCTGTAACGATCACTTGGCATGATCCTTTATCTCGGTCAAATTTTAAACAACACATTATAAGGAAGGTTACCATGCTTTGTAAGTTTCTTTTGGTTAAAGGAGGGGTGTCAAACTCAACCACTAAAGGGGCCATCTCAACAAATCTGTGGCCCAGAGAAAAAAATGTTTTTATTTCATTTTTAATTAATGAGGTGCTACAACCCGAACTGGCCATTGTTTATTCAATATATGCAAAAACTTCAGCAGTAATATACAGGCACTTGTAGACCTTAAATGATTACGTGAATACTTCAACAAGTATTCAAAATTTAAATGTCCCCAGGAGCTCAGTGTTTTAAATCTACATATTTGCTTGAACTAGACACCTGCCATCCTTTCAAGTTCATTAAGACTTGGGCTCAATTTCTAAGCTAGTGTTAGGTGTTTATATTGTTTGAACTGCAGCTGAACTGCAGCTAGTGTGTTTGGTCATATGACTGGTGTGGAATTGCATAAAATTGTGTAGAACTGAGGTGTATCCGCTATCCTATATGCTGTTGTTGGAGTAGGAGAGTTATGTTGCAGTGCATGCTGGGGACTGTAGTACAGCGCATAGTAAAATGGGCTAATAATAATAGAAAATTAAAATACTTTTGTGAGCAGGTTAGGATTGTGTGGCGGGCCTGATCTGGCTCGCAGGCCTTGTGTTTGACACATGGGGGTTAAAGCAATAGTTAGGCATATTAAATGAACACAAATTTTCCCTCTTGATCCAAATTTAGCTAAATTTTATCAGCCAAGACATGTTTGATGTTTAACGTTGGTCTCTTTTTCTTGAAGCCTTGAAGATTTTTTTCCAGCAGTGTTACACTGAGGTTATTTAACAGCTTGGTGTGATTTGATGCAGCAAGTGTGAAATAATTTAGGCATGTAGTTTGTTCAGATTGGTAAAGTATATGCATCTATTATTGCAAGACTGCAGTAGCAGGCATCAAACCTGTCTTGGCTGATCAGCTACATTTGGTGTATAAATTAATTGTTCAGTTGAACTTTAAATTGGGGTAATTTACCTGTAACAACACCTTTTAGTTTGACATCACTGCTTATTTCTTATTTAATTTCAACTGGACTTCTTCTTGTGGGTGTCCTGTCACTGATAGATCCTGTTTGGGAATGGCCATAGCAGTGTGAGCAGGATAGGTTTTGGTCAGTTTCTTCACTGCTCAGTTTGCTGCTTCAGGGCCAGAAACAATAACCTTCTGTGTGTAAAAGGTTGTTCTCTTTCAGTGTCTTCTTGAAAGCAGTGCAGGAGTTTCCAAACAATGGTATAGGTCAGTATTCAGGTAATTGAACCTGCTCTCAGATCAGTATCTCGGATACGTGAGACAGCTGTATGTTTCTCTTGGTGTGAATCGAGTAGGAGTCTCGTAATAGTTCCCTTGGTTTATAGTTCAGTAGAAGTTTATGAGCTTTGTCAGGTGCCCCAGTCAAAGGAGCCGTTGTATTGGAGGAAACAGGAGCCAAAGCGTTAAGGAGGGTTGAGTATCTGAGCAGATCTTGTTGTAAAGGGCTGTTTTGAAGGAGTAGTGAGGTGCTGCATTTTCTGTCTCACTCTCTCTGCAAGTTCTCAGCATCGTACCGAGTCGTGTTCAATGGTTGTGTAACTAGGTTCTCCATTCATGGTAAAAATGTCACACAATAAAGACATTGTGCAACATCTGGAATAGTCACTGGTGAGGTGCAATGTTTGCCACATGTCAACAGTGCTTGTTCAGGGTTGAATGTATGCTACAGGCTACTTTTGAGTGTAAAGGCATAGCAATTCACAAATTTCATGATTCTTTATGATACAGTGGTGTTTCAGTTCATTTTTTGATAAAAATAAGGAGTACCTTAAAACGATGAGCCATAATACGAGTCAGTGCAATACGATACATTATATTGCACCAAATGAAAATTCAAGGCCGAACTGAAATTCAGGAAACACTGGGTTGAAAAAACTGTGCATAAAAATGCTTTACATAAAACAAACTTACTTAAATGAGAGAACAGCTGGTCATCCAAGGCAGTGAATTCCATTAAACGTTTTGTTGTAGCTCTTGATACTGTGTGTAAACAGAGATTATAAATCACTTGTCTAATGTCCCTCATGGAAATCTCAACATAGTTCCACACAGCTGACATTTTTACTGTTTATCTGCTGCTGTGACTGTTTGAATGTGTTTGCACTGACCGGCTCAGAACAGTGAAGGAAACAAACAGCATTTTTAATTTTGACACTTTGTTGTTTACATATTTCATCTTTGTTTTTTTCCCAGTCAAACATTTTAGTGAACAAATTTTCTGTACATCTCTAGTACTTAATACGTTGTATTGTTACATTTCAAGTAAGTACTTGCGTGTATGTGTAGTTTCAAGCTGTAGGAATAGGTTTAATATGGACATTATTATTTTAGACTTGCATCACCTTCAAAAGAACAAATGTAGCAATTAGCCAATGTGTCCGCAGCTGTTTACCAGAAACCTTTTGGAATTGTCTGGATTTGTGCCACACTTTCTAACAACATCTCTTGTAATCAGTGGTATACAAATAAAATGACAGTTTATCCCTTTTTCTCATGCCCTCTGTCTGCACCATGTTGTTCAGCTCCACCTTATTTATGGACCATTTGATTTGATGTTTGCTTGTAATTAAAGTGTATCTTCATTATTCCAATTGGCCCTGGTTCCCTGAGCTAACAAGGGTTGATGAGAGTTCCAGACAGAGAGACAAAGCCAAGCCTGCAGGCTGGAGGTCTCTGCCATCCCAGCAGGCCCAGTGAATGTCAACAAGCCTCTCGTGGAGACAAACAGAGCCTGTAATAGAGTGATCTCAGAAGGGCTCTTACATAACCACCACGCAGAGGGGCATGAAGGAAAAAGAGCCCGCTCCCTCCATTCTTTCCACATAGATCTTTAAACTGCTTGATTGATGTTCCACAGCTCACCCAGGGTGGATGGGCAGATGTTTGTGTTGACAGATGAAGATAAAGTTTGACTCTAAGAACTGGTGGTGGGGGGTATTTTCCTTTGGTCTTGCTGTAAATCTTGTTCACGTGATACTATTAGAGAATGCTTTGAACAGCTAAAATGTGATGGCCGTGACCTCATCCTGGAGGAGAATTAACCCAGCCCAGTTCAGAACCGTGTTTTTTAAAAGGCATTGGGTGCGTATTGTATAATGATGTGTTGTCATTTTCAGCATGCAAGCAGGAAAAAGAAGAAGCAAATTTGGATTAGTGAAATTCTTGATGGTTGACATGTCTTTCCTTGTTTCTGACATGTGACTTCCAGAGAGCCTATCGGACAATGCATCTGCATTCAGCAGTCGAGCCAAGCAGCTGCACAGGAGGATGTGGTGGAGAGACATGAAGGTGAGTCCTCCAGTATCCCTGCAGTACCCTGGGTTACGCACTTTGTGCACAAAAGAACAAACAAAATGATTAAAGCTCTTGCTCTATTATTTACTTAACTAATAAGAGTAACACCTGCGTCACAACTGTAATGTTTTCTCATGCCTGCTGGGGTCATTTACAGCCGACAACTGGACTAGTAAAAGTTCTTCTCAAACAATTGTACTTTAGTATATGAAGTAAATGCAAGTTTCTCTGAGAAATAAATCAAATTTCCACACTCACTAGGGATGCTCCAAAATTTTGGCCATCAAACCTTTAAGCCAGAAATGGTCAAAAATTACTCATTCAGTTTTTGGCCGAAAATTGTGGTGAAAAAAGTAAATAGGGCTACAATGAAGTAAAAAAATGATAACACTTGAAACACATTATCCCACCCAATATGTAGAATGCACCAAACAACAGAAGCAGAAAAGAAAATCCCAGCTAGCTTGCCAATGCCATCTGTAGCCTCAGCTTTTGAAATTATATAAAAAACGACATTGGAAGTGTTCTGTAGCCAGATTTTATCAATAATGAAAGTATGTTTTCTTTATTACCTTGTAGTTTTCATGAGTAGCATATTTATTCAAAACCATGAATAAAACAGCAAATTTTTAAAACAAAACTTTCTTTTGGTTTCACTTTTTGGCAAAGTGTGTCTTGAAGTTTTGATTTTGGCCAGAAATTTTCATTGCAGTGCATCACTAGAACTCGCCAGCATAACATTTAAGTGACGGTCTCCTTTCACATCGTGGTAAAAAGTCAACATGCAATTACTCAAACTAGGGCCTAAGCACAGTAGTGGGATTCTTGTACACTCCCTCTTTCTTTACCCTAGTAGTGTCTAAACCTAAGGATTTCTGTTATATTGCTATACTTAATTAGAGATACCAATCCAGCATATCAGATCAGGGTATCAGAACAGATACTGACCTTATTACATGATTAAAGTTTTGGTCAAAGCACTGGTAAAAGTAGGTTATTGTGCTCAAACTACTCAAACTCTACTACCCCACAACAAGAAACACACCACTAACAACACCACCACATGTGAATGTGTGGTTTTTGGATAGATTTGTTAAAGAGCTGATTCAGATTCATTCTTTTTTCCTACTGATATCTGATCCAGCATTTTCTGCTGATCAACTTCATACGGATACCTGGTGCCATCTCCACCTCTTAGTTGCAGTAGATGTAAATTTTAACAGTACATTGTCCATAGTCTGCTTTGTCATGCATATACCTTACACACACAGTGATACCAGGTAGTTCCACACAGTGATCTATACTCTTGAAGTGTATCTTCAAATATTGGAATACAAGGGGGAAAAATGAAATCGGTGCATCCCTGTTTAATAGTATTTAATGATGTATTGAGAAGTATGAGAAGTAGTTTTGTATGAAATAGCCCAGTCTTGTTCACCAGAACTAGTGTTAATAAGGTTTGGTCTTCTGGCGTGTATTGAATTCCACCCTTTTCTGTCCTCAGATGAAGATGATTGTGGCGTTGGTGGTCGTCATACTGCTGCTCATTATAATCAGTACGTATGATGAACCTCACATACACAGACACATATAACATTGTTATTGTCTTGTATTTAGCCCATTTTAACTGGAGATCTACTGCCCTGCAGAGTTTAATTCCTCCACACCTAACTATATAATTCAGATGTTTCTAAGAAATTGGATAAGAAGCAAGTTTCACAGAAGATTTTCAAAGGGAAAAACAATTTTGAAGGATGTTAAGAGTTCATAAGAAAGTTCTTACATGTAAATGTGTGTTCTGCAGTTCAATAAAAGCAAAAAACTAAAGTTCTCAAAAACATAGATCCTCAGCAGAGGCCTCACTTGTCAAGTCTTTTTAGTTTAAGATACGTGTGAAGTTATTGTAATTTTAAAGAAATATTTAAGAATTTTTTTCCAAGATAAGCACTTTGTAGAATTGTTCTTAAAGGAACTGACCATTTTCAGCTTACCCCAGATGTAGTCAATCAGCACTGATTGCGCTGGAGCTAAACTGGGAGCTATGTTGCTAATAAACACTAAAAGTCAAGTTACCCAAATTTTTTTCCTTAAACACATCACCAACACTTAACCTGTTCAAACCACATCCAGGTCTTCGTTAAGATTTGTGGATATAGTTTACTGCACAGTATGGCTTACTGTCTGTGCACTATAAAAATGAACTAAACTGAACTCTGTGTAGCCGTTTTAGGCAATATTTTGTTGTATAGGTCCGCTTGGCCCATTTTTACCCAGCTTCTGACTGCAAGATTTCATCCTACTTGCACAGAAAATCTTCACAGCCCACAACCTAAATGTTTTGTCCTGCTCCCCCGCTCCAGCTCTCTCAAATAGCCAGTTTCCGTCTGCATAAGTCGCAAATTGAAATGACTGCCACATATCAGACTGGCCTTTAATTGGCTTAATTGTCATATATTTGCCTTTACTTTCCACAGCTCTGTCTATCTGACTGTCTAAAGGCTCTGCTGTTTCTGTAGCCTACAAGAGTGCACTTCGTGTGTTGTTCACGTGATTGGATTTCTCTACACTAATGGTGACCTGCTCCTGGCTGCACTATGCGGGTTACCCCCCTGTTCCTGTGCATGACACTAAAAATTAGCCCCATGCTCTGAATTTGACTCCTCTGTGTGCGCACATCACAGGCATATGGATGCTTAAGGTTACGTTCAAGATTTGTTGTTTTAACATTTTTAATTTGAAAATTTAAGATTTTAGATCAACAGTTATTTATAAAAAAAAGCAGGAATTGTGAATGTAATAATATAAAATGCCTGCATGATGTGCATGCGCTCAAAGGTGAGGCGGAACTCCGAACAACACCCCTGGCTGCCTGCAGTGTTCTGCTACATGGTTTTGTTTCGTGCAAAGTTTTGTGTATTTTTATAGCTCACAGTAAGCCATACGGTGTCCTAAAGAACACTGACAAGACTGCATGACCTAAATGAAGACCTGAATGTGGTTTTAGCGGCATATATTTACCAAACAGCTCTAAAATAAAGAAGCAAATTTTGGTTGTGGCTGTTTGACTAGGGTGAGTGAAAAATTGTGTACATCAAAATAAGTTTTTGAAGAAGTTTCGTTTTCCTTAAGTCTGAAGCAAAGCCATAACTCTGCAGGTTGCTCTGTCTCCAAAAGCTGGATTGGGCAGCTATACTGTAGCTGGACATAATGTTGTTGGAACAAAACCTCATATCTCCAAAATGGTAACTTTACAGGAGAAGAAAAAAACACATTTTACTTTTAATCCAAGTCATTTTGGGCCAAATTACAATTTACATACAATGTAAAGGCAAACAGGCATTTTCAAATTATGTCAAAAACTGAAAATCAACAAAAATGGAGAAAAGAGGTTTTGTTCTAACAGCAGCGACATACACAATGACCCTTTAACACCCTGTTTTTGTTCTTTCTCTCTCTGTCTCTGTTTCTAGTCCCGATCATACTAAAGTATCGCTAGTTTCTAACGGGGAGGTTGGAGGCTTGATCTGCTCTTCCTCCCGCCTCCTCCTCCCCTTGTCATTCCTCCACACCAGAAGAGGGCACTGCAGGCCCAGTGTATCGACCCGCTACAGCTTCAGGGGGACCATCGTCACACAGGGGCAGTCAAGAATGTGTGTGTGTATGTTTGTGCGTACATCATGTGCAGCCATCCTGGAATATGACAACATATCATGCAGTCAAGGTGATGACTGAACATATCATTTGGCAAAGAGGAGGCCGATGCTGAAGTCTTCTTTTATTTATTAATTTATTTATTTACAACCAACTGTCCACATACACATACACAGTTGAACTGGACTGTAGTCTCTTCACTTAAGAACTTCACCCAGTCTTCATTTTCTATACACACTTACTACCAAGATTACCTGTTTTTAAGTTAAGAAGGTCAGATTTGTACTTTATAATCAATTTTTATTTCTTTCGGCTTAAACCATTCTGCTTATACTTACCAAAAGTATTGGAGCGCGTGCACACACACACACACACACACACACACACACACACACAAAACATATTACTAAAATATTTATATTGCTCTTTCGTCAGTGGAACAGCCCATTGGAAACCTCTAGGTTAGGAATCACCATACAGGAAATGAAGATTTCATTCTGTACTGTTGCTGTGATCTCCTCATTCAGAATAATCTCATTGGATTTTTAAACATGAAATTAGACTTAATCCAGGTTTCTTTGAAGAAGAGAAAAAAAACATGATGCTTTTAAATGTTTGCTGCTATTACCATTTTCTCTAAAAGGAAACTACTTTTTTGGTTACTTGGCAAGTGTACATACTGTTAAATGATCACAGTCAATTGTGGTGAGTTGTATCGTTTTGCTTTTAAGGGATTGGTACAGCCCTTCTTATAGAGGTTTACGTGAAAAGATTGACTAGCTGTGTTCTTATGAAGCGCTGTAATTTTGCAAGCTCATTTTGTGGGGCTCACTGGTTTTACGAGCTCAGTTTAGGTGTGAGGCCTTTCAAAGTTCAGTACTCGTCTAATGCTTTTTATCGTTACAACACTGAGGTGATAAAATGAGCGGGAAAGTGGGACTGGTAGCCTGTAAAAATATTTCAGCTGGGTTATTGTTATACAGGCCTTTTATTAGGTTCTCCACAGAAAGTAGAAAACAGACTGAACTGGCTTGCTTTGAATATTTCCAGTAAAGTCTTGGAGATATCAGCTGAAGTATTTCTTGGAGGTCACATAGTGACTGCTTGTTACTCGCACACATGAGTGAACTCCTGCATTATTAGGATCTGTTAGGAAGACAGAGCGGCTATATATCACTGCTGTCGGAAGAAAATCTCCATTGTTGTCATTTTTCAGTTTTTGACATAATTTGAAGATGCCTGTGGGCCTTTACATTATGTGTAAATTTCATGAAGAATAGACCAAAACAAACAGCCCAAAATTATTTGGAAAAGATTCTGGTTTCATTGACTTACATTAAAAGCAAAGTAAGTTTTTTTCCTTCTCCTGTAGGAAGTTACCATTTTGGTTTTGTTTTGACAATAGCGATGTACATATGTAGTATAAAATGGTTCATGTAATTACCTTTTTTGTTTTTTTGGGGGAAGATAACTGCATTAAACAGGTAGTGCAACTTTGTATGGCTGAGGTGAGAGATGTTCTTGATGGTATGATTGAGGTAATTAAGACATTGGTGGGCAACAGGGACACATTCTGTAAATTTGTATTAAGATGTACTGCTTTACTGACTATTATTATTTTGTATTTAATTTATATGTAAATAACCATTCCTTAAAGAGGTGAAAAGTGACATTGGCAGACTGTGAACTACTTTTTTGTTTTGAAATAAAGTGATTTTAAAGTGTGTCTGGGTGGAAGCTTTTCAAAACCAGACAAATAACAGGAAAGGGGGCAGAGACAGAGCTGTCTGCCACCCTAACCTACACGCACACGAGCATAGACGTCTCCCGTCCTTCACCTAATCTCTCTCTTTCAGCTCTGTTAGTCCTGCTCCAAGTTTCATTATTCAGTCTTTTATTGGCTCCATTTAAAGCCCTTTCGCCTGGCTATAGTACATAATACGGAGTCTCAGGTCACTACTAAAACTGCTCCACTTTGAACTCTGTCTCTTTGTCGTTCCAGTCATTATTTCCTTTCTCTTTTTATCTGTCCCTCTTGTTTTATACCTTTTTTTTTTTTCTTTAGACCCTCTGTGTTTTTATGCCCCTGCTCTCTGCTCTTCTCATTGCTGATGTGTGGTTTGGTGAGCTGCTTTCTCCAGGTCCACACCATGACATCCAACATAAAGGCACATCAGATACTGGAGCAATAAGCAAAGCTATTTATAGTGATACATTTTTCCCGTTGTAGTAGTGTTCAGTTTCACTCATGCGCTGTCATGCTTAATGTTGTATTTTATTTTTCCGTTTCTCTGCTGCCCATCAGGTTTAGTGAGCTTCATCACTCTGACACGCAATGGGCCTCTGTGTGGCTCGTCTGGACCTGCTTAAAAGGAGCAGCTTAGCAGTGCAGAGATGAGCCGTACTGTTGAGATTTAGGTTTGAATCCCAGTTGTGCCATATATCACCCCATGAATGGATAATGGATATCCTCCAGGATGTGATCCTTCAGGTTCTTTGTTGAGGGCCCAGTGCTCAGAGGTTCTCTCAGAGCTCTTTGAGGTACAATGAGCATATTTTCTTTGTTGGTTTGCAATAACTTCACATATTAAAGACTGTCTTTGATGAAATCACACACATTTATGGCAGGGGTGTCCAATCTTATCTGCAAAGGGCCGGTGTGGCTGCAGGTGGAGCTCACCTGATTCTACTTGTTTAATTAGTTGGTCTTCAAACATTTCATCATGTGATCTCTGCTTTGTTGGAGTGAAAACCTGCAGCCACACCGGCCCTTTGCGTGTAAGGTTGGACACCCCTGATTTATGGCAATATTTGACGGTGCTAACTTACTATGACATAAAAATGACCTACTCCATGAATTGTGTACCCTTTAAATGTTAGCATTCACCTTTTAGGGGAAACTACTATTAGAGCAGAAGATTTACTGAATGTGCTTTTATCAATAGTTTGAACAAGAAAAGTCCTAAATCATTAGGTTTTATTTAAGTTGACTAGTGTAATGCAAAAATAGTTAAGTATTAATAACTATTCTACATATACAAAACCTTTGCATGCATTTTTTTCTTACTTAATGAAAACGTACATTTCAAAAGAATGCACTGTGTCCCCAAATGTAGGGGTTATTTAAAAAAGATTCATCCAATTTCTAAATGATTTACTTCACTTGTAAATCATTACAGAACAATGCAGTAAATTGTAAATGGTTTAAATGAGCATAAAGTTTAATATGTAATTTACAAGCGCTCAATATGAACCTCCTCCAGCCGTACAAACGTCAACACCATAGTCAAATTCATCCCATACTGGATTGAGCATGTCGGGTGTCACTGTACTGACGGCTCTTTCAGTGCGATTTCGGAGATCGTTGTTGGAAGTGGCACATAAACAGAATCCTTAACGTGCCCCCACAAAAAAGTAACACAGTGTGAGATCTGGTGATGCTGCTGACCTTTTTCTTGGAACTGTTGGTACCAACGATGAACGCTCTGAGCTGTTGGAGGTTCACTGCCATACTGACAGTCAGAAACTCTATGACCCCCTCTTAATTGGTATGTGATTGGTTCCTAGGCATCTATGGTGCTTTGAAATTGGATGAATCTTTTTGAATCACCCTGTACAAACTTGATATTCTAACAATAGAAGAACCTTTTTGGTGCTATATAGAACCATATACACAATTTAACCATGCAAACAACGATTTAAGCATGGAAATGGTTCAAGGAGTGTTCCTGGTTCTATGTAGAACCAGTGTCTTTACTAAAGAACGCTTGAAGATCCATCTTTTTAGAAGTAAAAGTATTTGAAAATAAGAGATGTACAAATCCACAATTTTACCTAACTACCCCTCTCAAAAAACAGAAACCATTAAAAACTGTGTTCCTGGTGGTGTCCAGTAGTCTATAAGTATTGTGTTTTCCTGATGGGTTGATATCACAGTGTAAAGGATTCTAATAGTTCAACTGCTGTTCTAGGACTGATTCCAGATGCATTTGATGGTTTCCTAATGGGATCTAAACATGTCCTACAGGAAACTAGAGGTGTCATATTAGAAAGTAAGACCATCAGGTTTTAATCCTGATGGTTCTTCAAGATGTGATTGATGAATAAATAGAACTAGTGCTCTGTACTGAACAGAGTAAAATGAGGGGAAAACATTACCCAACACCCTGACACTCGAAGAGGAAACAAAAGAGCTCTGTTTGTGTGTATCTCATATTTTCACCCCTCTCTCACTTGTGTTCTGCCCTTGACTGGGTTTGGTCATTGGACACACACATATCCACCCACATCCACCCACTTCTGGAAGAATAAGGAAAACTATTGGCATGACTGCTGGGAAAGAGGCTCATGTCACCTGCTGCATGTGTGAGCATGTGCTAGTGCAAAACAAACGTTCTCATGAGTGTTTAAAAATGTGACCAAAAAAAATATTCTTTTTTTGTTGTGTCTTCCAACTTTGCAAATGCCTGTGTGGGCATGTCAGCTTTGTTTTAAAGGGGCACTTTGGCCACAATAAAAAAAAATCTAACCATCACAGCATCTGCTGTGCTCAGCTCTTACAGCAGTGCTGTAGTCTCTAAAGCAAGATTTTCTAGTTTTAAGACTAAGAAACCCACTTCTGATGATGCATTTTGAAGGTGAATGGGAAGACTACTTGAGGATGGGCTGTTATGCGCTAGCTGGCTTACCCACTACATCAGTGGCAGCGCCAACAGTCAGAACTTCATTATTGCAATCAAAGTGGGGGGATTCTCAGTGGTTGTATGATGTTTTTGCATACTGCATGCTGGGTATTGTAGTGAAAGAACATTGATGAATGTAAACAGATGAACACAATAGTGGATTCTGTCAAGCTGATGAGGCAGAGGGAAGCAATACTGCTCTATGGAATATTACATAAAATAACAACATTAAATGCTAGTTTTAAGGTGGAAGGCTCCTTAAAAAGTAAGGGACATATACACTCTGTTCAAAAGTTTTTGGACACCTGCTCATCCAAGGTTTCTTCTAGCCAGTGCTTATTGGGTGTGATTCTAGGCTTATGCGGGTGCTCCAGGATGTCTTGTATTTTTGAAAATGTCTTTGTATAGAAATTATGCAAGCTATGTGTGTGCAATGGAACACCTGTATCAGCTATGAGTGCACCTCAAAGCAGTTAAATTCACTAGCTAAAAGAGCTGTCTGGATACCTTTGGACTTGTAGCGCACTACAAAGTAATTGTGAAGTTTCAAGAGCCAAAAAAATGGAATGCAGCTGAATGATCAATAAATCACCCAACCTAAAACTCAACGATAATGCGTTTAGCTTATTAAAGACAAGACTGAAGACAAAACCCCCCCAAAACAAACAGGAATCTACAAATGACCACCTTTCGGGCTTTGCAGAGCATCATCAGAGTCCGATGATGCAAAATGATTTGCAATTTAAAAAAGTGTAAGAAGCCTGTTTAGCATTGGTTTGTCAGCATGTTTGTGTTGGCACTGACTGATTTCAGCATCTGGTCATTATCACTAGAACATCTGGGAACACATAATGGAAAGGAATGAGCATTTGAAACAATGAGTCCTGGACATGGATGAGCACATTCGTGAGTAAACAGGACAGATGTAGGAGAGTCAGGACTGGTGCTCTCCATTCGACCCCTACTTCTCTCCTTTCCTGGGAAATGGATCTGGAGTTCAAATTTTTAGTAGTAGTTGGGAAACCTGGTTCTTAGCAGTAAGGTCAAAGGTCAGGGTTGAAGGTGTTTGGGATGCTGAAATTTGCTGAAAATCTGGAAATTGTGTTGAAATGTCTGAGCTTCTTTAGAACTGGGTGCATCAATAAATGTTGTCCATTTAGCTGTTTGCATGTCTCAGGTACTCCATCCAGATCTATGAATGTAATTGAGTCACATACATGATGTCGTGTCTGTCCAGGGAACTGTCTAGGGAAGTTCAGAGGGTGGTTAGCTAGGGTCCTTCTTAATGGCTACATGTTGCAGTTACCCAGTGTGGAAGTGAGGTGTTTGAGGCTAAGATATGAGACTGTAAGCTAAAGGGGGTCCATCAATCTCACCTGAAGGACCCTGGCACACCCAATTACTGACTCTGTAGCCAGACAGAGAGTTGAAGACGTTGAAACAGTAAGGTAAATCAATCAGCGGACGAACGATGACTAGGCTTTAGGGGTAGGCTTTAAATTCAGGCTGTGAACGTAAACTCGGTTAAAAACGTGATCAAAAAAACCCACCTCTATGATAATGTAAAATTCCATCAGCATCCCTGTTGGGTTCTAGTAGTTTCTTAGCACTAAGCTAACAGCGTTTTGCACGAACATTTTTTCACCATTCTAGATTAAACACCAAAGATGTTCTATGTTTTACTTGAATCTTGTGACAGACATACTAGCATATATTTTGCCTTGTAGCCATTTCACAGTGACTCAGTACAGAAGTCTGGTATAGAGCTGCTGCCACTGTTTTCCATTTCTAACAATCCATTGATTAGCCTGCAGCTTGTATGCACAGTCAGTAATGCATGTACATACATCTGCAAAAATACTGAGAGTGATGTTTTTCTCCTGTTGATTGTTCTGTCACTTTGTAAGTATGCTGATCGGGTTAGGCTAGGGGTCGGCAACATATGGCTCTTTTACTGTCCTGTTGCGGCTCCACAGCAGAATCAGATTTTTAGGTAAACATAAAATAATCCTCCGTTCCCGTAAAATAAAGCTCTGCTGATCGTTCTGACACAGTTTTAACAAACAATGTATAATTCACCAACCTTCAACCCTGAAGAATCGGCATACAGACTGCTGGTCACATAGCAACATAGATAAGAATCTCGCCTAGCTAGTAGCTACGAAAAGACAAAGAGACAGATTTAAGAGGAGCATCGATCATTTTAGACGAATGGACTTGTGTGCATCTCTAAACACTCCAACTGGTTTCCTGATATGTTTAATCTGTAATGAGAAACTGTCAAATACTATAAATTTGCATTACAATTTTTCCATTCCACCTTAAGTGGTGCAGCAGTTACATTCTGGCACTTGAGGCATCATTTAAGGTGAAACGGGAAAATTCAAACAAAGTTGGCGAACAAGAAGCTTCAGCCTCGTAACAGATCGAACTATTCTATTTTTTGTGGAAAAGTTTCCTGCTGGAGATGCAAGAAAAGCGGCTATAGCTGAGCTAAAACTTAAGCAGAGCAAAGTAAGTCTGTGTTTTCGTTTATATTTTAGTCTATACTAGTACAGTAGCACATACTTAGACATATTTACAGCCAAGATGTGTTATCTGATTAGACTGGACACCCCTGGTCTTTCTGAAAGCTCCCAACTTTGTTTTAAAACCAGGCTGTACAGTTAGACATAAACACACACAAGTCATGAAAAGCTTACGAGAGGACTGAAAGGTAGGGTTTAACCCTTTTGTTTCCATCCTAAACTTAACAATGAAAGAAGGGTAGTGTTTGTAATACTTGCAGAGTTTAAATACAAAAATGATTCTATTGAAAAACAATGAACAAAAGAATTACAGACATGCGTTTCTCAGCTCCTAGAATCATTAGGCCTTCTCCGAAGGACCGGACAGTTCCCCTCTGTGAAAAGGTATCTGAGTGTTCCTCAGCTCCACCACATTTACTATAACTATGCTGTCCTCCTGCTCCCATTCCAGGGTTAAATTCAGAGGCCATCTTCTAAAAGTCCCTTTCCCTATATATAAATCTCAGGGAACAAAGCCCTCCCCAGTGGCTGGAGTGTAGACTGTGGAAGTGTAGTGTTTATATCAGGGGTGTCCAAACTTATCCACAAAGGGTGGCTGCAGGTTTTCATTTCAACAAAGCAGAAGTACACATCCTCAATTATTTGAAGACTGAGACCAACAGATTTAGGGGTGCTACAGCTTGACTGGAATGAAAACCTGCAGCCACGTTGGCTATCGGATAAGATTGGACACGGCTGGTCTGTCAGAATGCCCCTAACTTAGTTCTAAACCTGTACAGTTAAACATAAACACACACAAGTCGTCAAAGGTTATGAGAGGACAGAGAGGTAGAGAGAATGAGAGTGACACAGAAAGAGAGATGGAGAGGGGTGAGTATAGCAGGTTTGAGCTCATGTTATGTTATAAAAAGCAAGAAACTGACCTTACGGCTAAACGGAATAACATCTGTTGAGAAGAAACACAAACGTCCACACATACAAGTCACAGAACTGGTGCTAAATAAATAGTAACGTGGACGGTGACATACCTACACATCATCAGCATAGTGAGATGGTGACATAATGATGAATCATCAGCATGTACAAATACAAACTACCCTAGAGCGAATATGGAGGATACAAATGGCTCACTCAGTACTTAACCTCACAAATGAACAGCCTCAAAGGTTATTGATCAGCATTTAGCCTCCACCCTGGCCCTAAATGCCATGCCTGCGCCACTTCTTCCCGTGGCAGGTTTTTGGACAGAGTAACTCTATCTATCTTTGCACTCTCTCAGCAGCTCGTGTCTAATATGTCCAACTGTGTGGTCCCCCTCCCGTGCCTGGGGCATCAGTGGCAAGCTGATAGGGGCACGAAGACCCACTGCTCCAGAATTAGAACCCAGCAGAGAGTACACATCCTCAATTGTTTGAAGACTGAGACCAACGGACTTAATGAGCAGATGTGAGTGTGCTCCAGCTTGATTGGAATGAAACATAAACACACCCATAAGTCATCAAAAGCTAATGGGAGGACAGAAAGGTAGAGAGAATGAGAGCCACATGGGTTATCTGATAAGACTGGACACCCCTGGTCTCTCTGAAAGCTCCCAACGTTGTTTTAAAAACAAGCTGTACAGTTAGACATAAACACACACAAGTCATGAAAAGCTTACGAAAGGCCTGAAAGGTAGAGAGAATGAAAGCAGTAAAGAGAGATGGAGAGGGATGAGCATAGCAGGTTTGAGCTCATGTTATGTTATAAAAAGCAAGAAACTGACCTTACGGCTAAACGGAATAACATCTGTTGAGAGGAAACACAAACGTCCACACATACGAGGCACAGAACTGGTGCTAATTAAGCAGTAACATGGACAGTGGCATACCTACACATCAGCAGCATAGTGACATAGTGATACATCAATCACATGTACACATACAAGATCTACCATAGAGCAAATATGCAGGATACAAAGGGCTCAAACAGTACCTAACCTCGCAAACGAACAACCTCAAGAGTTATTGATTAGCAGGTAGCCTCCAACTTGTCCCTAAATGCCACGCCTGCCGCACTTTTTCCCATGGCAGGTTTTATAACTTTGTCTATCTTTGCACCCTTTCAGCAGCTTGTGTCTAATATGTCTGACTGCGTGGTCCCCCTCCCGTGCTGGGGCATCAGTGGCAAACCGATAGGGGCACGAAAACCCACTGCTCCAGAATTAGAACCCGGTGGGGAGTAATGTGTGCACATTCTCTTTGGATGTCCCCCTTAAAAACACTTGTGTACTCAGACACACACCATGTATACATTTTATGGGGCGCATGAAACATAAGCCAGTGATAGCGCAGATAGCAGTAACAAGGCCTGAAATAATGAAATTTGATTTGTTCTGTTAAAAATAAATGCCACTATTTGAGAACTTGTTAGTGTCTTTAGTATAACACAACTGTCCACATACCTTCTGGGGTGACTGAGTGATCATTTAAAGACAATAACATCTACTACTAATAACATTTATCTGATAAACTACTGTGCGTCAGGAGCACCAGTGAATAATTTTTCATCTCTGTCACTTTCAGCACCGCACAACATGCCTATGCACACGTGCGCAGAGAAGTGATGGAATATTCTTGCTGTTTGAGTCCCTCCCTCCCTCTTTTTGCTCTTTCCCTCCCACCTCCCTACCTTCTGTTTCCCTTTCAGACTGTATAAATAACCCATGCCTAGGGTCCCCAGGCTCAGAGAAACTGCCTCTAGATCTGAGAGCTCACTGACCTGGGATCCCAAACAAGCATCAATCACCAGAAAACTCAGACTCTGCACCGACCTGACACCTGCTTACGGACACAACTGGGAAAAGCAAGGGCAAGACAGAACCAGTGAGAGAGATAAAGGAGACTAAGCAGAGACTAAGGGTCACTGGCGAGAAGTTAGTCTTTCATTAGTCTGTCTCCAATTTCGTCTGGGAGGGGTAGAGGAAGGAACAGATTAGTGACGGTGCTGCACAGGACAAGATCAGAAGGGAGAAACAGTGAAGAAAACAGTGAGCATCTTTGGGTAACAGAAGCAAAGAAAAATAGGAAAACCTGTAGTCTGGTTCAATATGTGGTCTCTGGCCATAGTTTGGATCTCCAGCCTGCTTGTGAGCACCCAGGCTCAAGGCAGTGCCAGCATGTGGAGAGGGAATGACCGCAGTGGCCGCTGCCAGTACAGCTTCACTGTGGCCAGCCCAACAGAGGCCAGCTGCCCGTCTGTGGGATCCGGACCGGAGATGGAAGCCCTGAAATCTCGACTGGGGCTGCTGGAGGTGATGGTAGCCCGTCTGGCTGTGGGGGGAGGCACCAAGGGCTACGGCTGGGACAGGGCTCCAGGAAGCTTACACCCAGGCCATGGGGGAGAAGGCTCAGCTGCAGAGGGAGAAGAACAGACTAGCCCAGCAGGTAGATGAGCTCCAGCAGAGAGTGGCTGAGCTTCAGAAGGAGGCCGAGAAGCTGAGGAGCACACCCTGCCAACAGCTGCCTCCTCCAACTGTGCCGCAGCACGACAGTGGTCTCCGGCCTGGAGCTGGTGAGTACCTTCTATATGTGGTACTTGTGCAGTAGTTCCCACATCCTCGTCCTGGCAAACCACTGCCCTGCACATTTTAAAGTATTCTTTGCCCCAACACACCTGATCTATCATTTTTGCTCAAGACTAGCTCCCAGTACACATGTACGAGGTATTCAGGTCTTTGAAGGCTTGGATCAGGTATGTTTGGAGCTCAAACAGAGTAAAAATGTGGAGACTGAGAAACAAGCTGTACTTGCAAGGTACTAAAACTGCAACTAAAACTGCTTGAGCAGAAAAAAAATATCTGCATCAGTACTTGCAGGGCATTGTTTACAGCTGCATGTGTTGTGGGCTGGTAGTTGTAGGTCTGGTTTAAATTCAGAACTTGAAGTGGTAAGTTAAAAAAACCCAGGCTACAACCTATGAGCCAGTACAGACACACTTTCAGAGATTTTTTTTATTACCTTACCTAGAAATTAACTGGCTGAAGAAGTAGCAAATTTGTGAAAATTTACATGACGTACAAAACAACCTGGAAAGCAGGAAACATGACTGGTAAACCTGTCTGGTAAACAAATTCATATTTATTACAACCCAGAGGTAGAACGTTCCACTTTGCCCACTTTGAATTGCTGGTAATGATGAGTAATTTACTGCTGCTCGCACAGTCATACCTGACTGGTAGCATTAATCACACATAGAGGGGGTCCCCCTTAAAACCAATGGAGAACAGCATGGATAGAGGGGATAGAGTTTCAAGGAGGAAACTCAGTCCGTTAACCATATATCTGTCTGTAATAGTTTGACAGAGTAAGAAAGAGGGAGATGCACTTGGTTTAGTAGTTATGGCCAATCACTGATAGTATGGGACATGGAATGCCTGTGTGAGAGCTTTAGGGCCACTAAATCATGAATCTTAGACTCTGTACTCTCTAAGACAGTACTATAGGTGCTTGGACCAGCTGGCTTTGGATCTCTCCTGTTGCTGAAAGCTCTTATGCTGAATGCTTGCCTTGATCTGGCATTGGAATGTTAACATATGCTCATTCAAACGGGTCTGTAAAGTTTACACAAGACACACTCTCTGTCCTTATGTAGGCACATCCTGGCCTGCACCCAGGGCAGTAAAATATGAGGCTATCAATTTTTGGACAGAGGGGGAAACCAGCCAGCAGCCCCCTGCACTAAATCCCGCTCTGCTCCCATTTAGGAGTTCAGATCTTTCTCCCCAGCCTCTCTCAATTTACTGTGCTCCTCTTGTCCGTCTTCAGCATCTGTTCCGCTCCTCATGTTGACACCTGTGCCGTGGCCTGCAGTGTCCGGCGTCCACACATGCACGGACATGTGGAGAATAGATAAAAACGGATCTAAAATGCGAATGGAGTGAAACCAGAGGGAGGAGAGACGCACCGAACTGTGGAGATCCTCTTCACAGGAGGCAGAGACACTCTTCTCTTTCAGAGCCCACTTTGAGCAAAAGCAACACAAACAGACCCCTCTCTCTTTTTTTCCAATTGAGAAAAGCGTGACAGCACCAAGACATCCAGCAGGGTGAAAATAACAGAGTCTTGTGTGCTGAGAAAACAAGAACTTCCCCATAGGCAAAAACCTGGAATATGCCTTCACGCTATCTACGTTGCATGTATATAAAATCTTAACCATCTGCAGTCTAGACAGGCCTCTAAATGAATGATATAACAGGCATAAAGATGTTGGTCAATGCCACAACATTTTAATCTCCTGGGAAGAACTGACTTGTTTGCACTCATAAAAGTTCAGAGTTTGACCCGTTTACACTCATTAAAGCTGCCAGTAGGAGCCAATGCAGTTAAGCAGGAGAACAAAGGCTCCAAGAAGTCATCACCGCAGACGTAACGAGCAGAGAATTAATCAGGTGTAAACAGTTCTGTTTGTATAAAATTGGTCTGAACTCTACTTGCCCTGGAAAGTTCTTGAAGTTCTGCCTGTATTGCCCCGATATCCATCAAGCAACATGTGGCTCAGACAGACACAAAGAAACCTCAAAAACAGTGTATATTTGTTTGAACCTTTAAAGATAGTTGAGTCTCTATCTGCCTCTGGAATGCGTTAGTAAACTAGCTGGTCTAATTTACGGTCACACTTAGCTGAGCTCACGGTTGCATCTTTTTCAACTGAACTTACAGGCACCTTCAGATAAAACCAAAGTGAACTTGATAAAGTGAATCCAGTTTCATAGTAGATACTAAGAGCTGCTTCTATCGCAGCTCTATTGTACCTCTTTCTCGCTGCTTTGAACAGACCAATCAAACAGCTTCCAGGTGTTAATGACTGTGTAATTATAACCTATTAGGGATGCTTGTAAACACTGTGTCGCACTCAAGTTTGTTATCAGGGTCATTTCTTGTGATAAGCAGCATAAACAGTCAAGGGGTCCCACAAGTTTAAAAGTTTTTATATAATTTTGTAAACCACTATATGGCCACAAGGTCAGCAATCTGTCCAAATGAGTCCAAGAGAGCATAATTAGCCTCACTCTTTCTGGGTGGACAGGATGGTCATTCCTCTCTCCGCATAATGCAGGTGTAGCAGAATTGGCGGTTGGCATTCTCCTCCAAGCATGTCCACCAATATTGTAATGGAGCTTCAGGCTCCCTGTTCAGAAACAGCCCTATTTACAATGGGCCAGAGTGGACACTCAGCCTTAAGGTTGTAAACATGGAACAGTCTGATTTACGAAGACGGGGACAGGGCTGGAAGACGTGTTTGTCGTGCTTGTTGTTGAAGTCGAATGACGCCTTGCCTTGTTTGAGGATGCGTAAATGTAAGGAAGCCGACTCCATCACAGCTAGTAATCCACTCAGAATTCTTTATTTCCTTCCGTCACATTCTTGCATGTCAGTAAACGCCACTCAACCCCTTTAGACATCCTTAACGGACACTCTAAGGGATCAGAGGATCAATATCGTCAGAGGCAGCCCATCTCTGGGTTTCAGTGACCTTAAGTATGGGGAGCAGTACTGCAGCTTTGCTGTCTGGAATGTTCTGGAGTTTCGGTTGCCAGCTGTGCCTGATTGATGAGGAAAGATCAGTTGGTATCTACTGTAACTTCTGCTCATATATAAATTTAAGTTCTTTCTGGCATCTAGGCCCTGCCCTCTCACATCTGGTGTCCAGACCAGGCAGGACACAAGGAGACACAAGCAGCCTGAGAGGTGAATTCCAGAGCATGTACACAGTTATCAAGCCAAGCACACTACGTTAGTAATGTTAGTTAACAAATAGAATGAGAGGAGATTTCATAGATAATTAGTAAGTTTTGAGCTTTCACAAATTTCCACCTAAGACAAAGTTGTTTAGCAGTAACTCTAGCCTCATAAGAAAAACACAGGCATTCAACACAGAGGAAGTCAGAGCTCAGTCTCTTCACATGCACATAAGTCTGAATCTGGAAGAAACCATTGCATCTGGCCTCCACCTGTCCTCTCATTTCTTGCTGCATGCTCATTTCCTTCTTGCCCTCTCCTAGATCCATCTTGGCAGTATGGCAGTCCAGGATACCAGGAGCTGAAGGCTGAAGTGGCTGAGGTTCCTGCCCCAAGGCCAGAAGACACTGAAGATTACACAGGTAAATGCAGCCAGCCTGAGTGCGCTCTTTACACACACACCTTGTGAGCCACACTGGAGTAAATGCATTTGAGCTAGAACGTAGCAATACCTTCAGTATTCTCCAGCAAGATTCAAGTCAGGCTGGCTAAAACCCTGACACCCCTTCTCCAAGTCTTTCTTACTTGTCCCAGAAACTAAGATGGCACACATCAGTCTCTCTCTGCTGAAAGCACAAAAACAAATACAGCTATTTTTACTAGAAAACGTAGACCCTATACAGCCCAGCTTGTAAAAGGACTTGGGTATCTTTAGTAAGGCACTAAAAATGGTAATATCAAGCATCATTTGATAAGACCATGTTGCAAAACAAACTTTGGGGTTTCCCCCTCAAGTCCTTGTAAATCCTGCCAAACATCTCGGTTATGAGCTTCCACCCATAGCTGCCAGTCTTCTCGGTTTCAGAATATTTTTGGAAGGGGTCAACATACACTTGCATTAGCAAGAATGCCAGGATGACCTGAGATCTCTAAAGGAACATGGTTCCTTTAACTGCACTTTTGTACCCTCAATTCTGTCTCGTCTCTCAATGCCTACATTCATACACTATGTACAAGTTACTTTACTATTTAGTACTTTAAATTCCATACTTAACTCCACAGTACTAAAGCAGCGTCTAGGTCAGTTTTGTCGTATGCCTCTAGATTGCCTTAGGTTTCCCTCACAGCAACTAGTTCTGAAAGTTTCTGTAAATCATTTGACAATTGATCGAACCCGATCCTCCCTCATTCTCTTCAACTTTCTCCTTCCTTGGTCCATCTTTCTGATCTCTCAGGCTGCGGTGAGCTTCTGTCTGTGGGAGAGCCAGTGACCCACCGCAAGGCTGATACCATCGCCGGTAAGTATGGCGTGTGGATGCAGGATCCAGAGCCTGTGGCACCATATGGCCCAGGTATGGTGTGGCGAATTGACACCATAGGCTCTGAGGTCCGGCAGCTCTTCGGCTATGAAGACATGGCGCAGCTGTCCCGAGGCTTCCCCACCAAAGTTCTGCTCTTGCCCGAGGCTGTGGAGAGCACAGGGGCCACGATGTACCGCGGATCACTCTACTACCAGCGGCGCCGCAGCCGTACCCTTATACGTTACGACCTGGCCTCAGAGAGTGTGGCTGCCCGCAGAGACCTGCCCCACGCCGGCTTCCATGGACAGTTCCCCTACTCCTGGGGCGGCTACACAGACATCGACTTTGCCGTAGACGAGGAGGGGCTGTGGGTCATCTACAGCACCAACAAAGCCAAGGGTGCCATTGTGATCTCTCAGCTGGACCCCCACAGTCTAGAGGTGAAGAGGAGCTGGGAGACCAACATTCGCAAGACCACCGTGGCCAATGCCTTCATGATCTGTGGGAAGCTGTACACAGTGGCCAGCTACACCTCACCCAACACCACTGTCAACTACAGCTTCGACACAGCCACCAGCCAGAGTAAAGCCATCTCCGTGCCATTCAAGAACCAGCACCGCTACAACAGTATGATAGACTACAACCCTATTCAGAGGAAGCTCTTTGCCTGGGATAACTACCACATTGTGTCGTACGACGTGCGACTGGGCAAGCAACAGTGAAGCACTTTGCAGGGAGGGTGGTTATAAAGTCATTATGGAAGGGATTAACCGATCATAGACTGCAAAAACAAGTTATATTGGCTTTGTGATTGTTCATAAACTATCATGATAAGAATTTCATAGCATTTCCATTGAATGTTGTAAACATAATACATACAAGTGCCAGCAAGATCATAGTCGCTTTCCCCATTTATCACAAAGGTAAACTCTAGAATGGAATAAGCCTCAGGGAAATCCTAGGCACACTTTACTCCTTACAGCTAAGCAATCAGGCTTTGAGAAGCAGATGCCAGATTTCTAGTTTGGTTCCTTTTATTACTAAGCCAAAAGTGTACCTATAGATTTACAGGTAATCAGTCTTATCAAGCTGCTCTGGTCTCCCCTAGTCTGAGGCTGCTCATAGCTTTCTGATCAACTTTTACTGTGGTCGAATTTCTACTTTTAAGTCAGCTATAAATATTCCATTATGGACAATTTGCCTGTTTGTTTTGTGTTTAACATTGTTCATGCGGCATCACTGCCAAAAGGCTTTTTTTTAAGCGAGATTTTATGTATTCTTTTTCATTGCAGTGGCATGGCCCACTTAATGTGTTAATAGAGATTATTTTTCTACCTTTGCTTATCTGCTGTGTGTGTTTTTGTGTATAGCACTGAAAATATGTCAGAGAGGGGACATCCAGCATACCAACATTAAAAAAAAACCCCACACAACACCTTTAATTCTCCCGCTCTCAAATAATTCTCCCAGCTTTTCAGAACCTGTCAATACTCTGCTCAGCTAATACAGCATTGTACTGGTATGGTTATACATAGAAAAAATCTGTACAAATTTAAATTCATTAACACTAAATAAAGATTATACTGAACAATGTGATATGCCTTTTTTGTAAGTTTTTCACCAGTAAACAACAGAAGGCACTTTGGGTTGATCACTTTCATTTTAAAGGTTTAAAAAAAGACAATAATGCATAGTTCTCATTTTTTAACAGCATATTATTTTATTAGTTTCTGTAACCAAACCAAGAGAATGTAAATAAGACCTTACATATTTTATTACAGCGATTTAACCCCTGTACAAGTAAAACAAAAAACAAAAGAGGAAAATCAATCATCCCTCTCTCCACTCATTCCTCTCCTGTTTGTTTCTCGTTTTGGAGGTCCACACTGAAAACACCTGTATATCTATAGTCCCCCTTTTGCCATAGCAACCTGAGAGGAATGGACTGGAGAGGTTAAAGGCCCAGCTGATTGAGGCCTGTGGTCATCACAACAGAAAATAAGTCCTTTATGCTTCTGAACTACAGTTCAATCTTTTTTTTTTTTTACCTCATCTTTTTTCCCATCCTTTCATGTTCATCTCTAGAGGCCGACTCGCATTATGAATTTTCATCTTTACTTTATCTTGCAGCTATTTTCTGAAGTATTAAAATCAAGCACTGCTGCTCAAACCCAACCCAGACCCTACCTGACCTCCCTGTGCTGAGACTGGCTGTTAGAGAGGTCAGGGTCCTGCCCTACGGCACTGTCAGCAGCATGGCTGGGTGAGTTGTGGCAAAGAGAGTGAAAGACTAAATAAGTCTGAGTTGGTTGGGAGAGAAAGTGAAGCATTTGAAACTCCTTCACTTGTATTCAGAAATCAGTGAAGGGGAAATTCTTGAGCTAATAGACATCAGTCATATGACTGCTCTGGAGTAAACTATTTTTTAAAAGAAAAAAACAAGAAGGAAAAGAAAAAAAAAAAAATACTACCTGTGGACCAAGTAGAACTGTATGAGTAATCATCGGTCAAACTGTAGATTGAAGTGGCGTCCTTATAAAGCCTAACCTTTGGCTAAAGATTCAAGGAGAGGTGTCGTACACATACATGCTCCCACTTTTTCAACAACTCTCTGTCAATAGAACTACAGAGAAGAAGGCAGGAGGCAAGGCTCACAGTGGAGACTGCAATCAATGAATCAATCGTCAAATCCATCAATAAATCAATCAAATCAGTGGCTCTAACAGCACATTTCTCTTATGGAAATCAAAAGCGCAAAGACAAGAAGCATTTGTGATTTAGCAATGGTTTCATGTTGTTTTTGGCATACCACTTTGTTTAGGAGAAATCATGTCATTATATTGGGAAGGAGAAAGTGAGCAGTGGCCATGCACGTGTGTGTGCTCACAAAATAGTGGGTGTGGATATCTTCATGTCTCTTACTCCGAGACCTTAACAGCAAGGCTTGTGCCAGAACACAAAAATTTTAAACAAAGATTTGTTCCTTGAAATCCAAAACACAAAAGGGGAGAGCAGAATTCCACTGCACAAATAACTGCCTGCTTATCACATCATTTTGCTTGCAGGAGGGTGTGATGTGAAAAAAATTATAGATTTATACCCATAATAAAAATGAATTTGTGCACTCAGCAGCAAATTAACTTTTCTTGTTGCTTTATATCTTAGCTGTACACTAGCCATGAACAATAACTGTTTTACTGCGTTTTATCTGTGTTTATTAAAAAAAACAAAACCAAAAAAACAAAAAAACAAAAAAAACAAAAGGGGGGGGGGCACAAAAAACACCCACGCTAGAGGCGCCAACAACCTAACAACCACCCCTCTACCCTATAGAGAAGAGGATAAAGGGGTCTGGAAAGGAGTGTAGCAGGATGAGGGCATGGTAAATGCGATGAACACACAGTACCTTTCAATCAGTATGCTACTGTTCATCCTGTATCCCCATCCTTCTCTCCAAAACCCAACCTTTCTACTCTCCAACAGGGCTGTATGTGCTCTAGCAGATCTCTGTCAAGTCCCACTATTCAACCATCTGCTCATCTGTCTGTCTGTCACGCTGAAGGTGGATACGTTTACTTGCCCTCCTCAGGTTTGATGGCCTGGGGCTTGATAGGGCCGGTCCGGATAGGCTTGGTTGTAGTGAGCGGTGTGGGTTTGTCAGGTTCAGCATGGTCAGATGGAGCCCCCTGGTGGTTTGGAGCGATGTTGTCAATGGGTTTGCCTGCTCCCTCCATACGAGTGGCCTTGACTGGAGCTTTAAGCTGCTGCTGCTGTTGCTGCTGCTCAGAGAAGAACTTGTGAGTGGACTGTAGTACCTCTGCTCTTTGCTTTGCCTAGAAGAGGGAAATTAAAATTACGGTGAGAGAAGATGCTGCCTACAGTTCTTAAATTATAGGCCTTTATCTGGCCTTTTGTTTATTTACTATACTGTAATCCTTAGAACCAAAATAACCGCTAGGAATATCTAATGATACTGGTTAAATTAACAATGTACTGTATGAACAACATTTCACAGAAGCACATGTTTGCTACCTTAAGGTCCTGTTCAGCCTTGAGAGCTGCTTGTGTGCCACGGGGTGCAAGAGGAGGCCCAGAGGGACCACGGGGTGGGTGCTGAGGTCTGGGGTGAGGCATCAGTCCCCCGCTCAAACTGGGAGACATAGGGGGACCCATTGGGGTACGCTGTACTCCTCCAGGAAAGGAGTTGGCGTGGGGGGGACGTACCAGTGGAGACACTATGTTAGGCTGGGACAACATCTGTTTGGTACAGGGAGAGGGAAGGGGGGGGAAATTCACAAGAAAATCTTTACAAGGTCATACTTCACATCTTTTTTTAGTTAAGCACATAGAGACAAAACAGCGAGTTAAGTATGAATGTTTTCAGTGGATTACCTGTGGGTTGAACTGTCCAGGGAAATGTTGAGGGATGCGCATGCCTTGTGATCCAGACTGGAACTGTTTAGGATACAGCATGCTGTTCATCTTACTTGACTGACTACTAGGGCTTGTGGAGCTTGCCCTAAGCAGAGGGAGGAGATTGATGTTGCAAGATGAGCTCAGTGTCAAAACAGGCTGTAGATTATGCATTACATATGAAAGAGGGGTCTCCTACTACTACTACAAGGCCAGCAACGTGTGTGTACAGACAGACAGACAAATAAATGTGTGTAACTAAAACTGTTGACAATACCTGTAAGGACTTGATGTGGGGGTAGTGCTTCTTGCACTGACTGGAGGAGTACCAGGTTTCACATCCATCCCACTGCCAAACAGCTTTATGTCCATTTCGCACATCTATCACAAACAGCATCTCAGTTTCAGTGAAACTGCTGCACGTTTTTTGACCATGTGATTTAACACTATACAATGCTTGCTATGAAAGTAAATTTTACTCTGCATGAAAGCAGAAGCACATTTACAAAGACACGAACATAAAACTGTGTCACTGTTTACCTTGTTGGAAGGCATCATGCTGTGTGTGTTCTGGCCGATGAGGCCGCGGTAGGACTGGCTGTTCGGGGGTTGGCGATTCAGGTTGGGTGGCTGGGCCTGTGGAGGGGTCGGTGGCAAAGACTGGGGCAAGGCCAACAGAGGCTGCCCCGCACCAGAACCAAAGCTTGGCAACGACAACTGCGAGCCAGGCATGGGGACCGTAACCTGCAGAAAGATGAGCATAAATTGTTTATTACCATTTATCATAAAATAAATAAAAAGTCCCTCTGCATACGGGCTTCAGCTGAATGTCCCAAATGGATTACTTAAACATGATATTTTAAAACAGCACTGTTGTTTTATGATGGAGAGAGACAGAAAGTCATGTTAGGATACTAGGGATTAATACCTACTGCATTTACGTCCAGAGGATGTATGCCCGCTATCAGCACATAACTATACTCTAATACAGAAGCCCTTCTGGAGGTGCCTTTACCTGTTGCAATGCAGAGCTGGGACTCTGTGTTGAGCTGTAGTAGCTATTCTGTGTGTGCTGCTGCACTTGTCCAGAGTAAAGGTTTGAATGTTGACTCATTCCTTGGCGCTGTAATACAACAGTAGTGTCCATTAGAAATGGGCCACAAAGAAAAGGGTCCTGTCTTCTTTAAAACATTGGTTTAGGAGTTGTTGTGCACAAAAACTGCCAAAAGACAACACTTTTTTTTCTAAACTCTGAGCTGTGCAAATTAAATGTTTAACTTCCAGATTTAAACAACTGAAGGCTGTAACGCTAACCTGCAGTATGTGTGTATCTATGAGCTGGGAGCCGCCTATTCCAGAGGGCTGGTTGAGCTGAGGTTCGAATAAGATGGGGATGTGCTGTGTGTTGGAAGTCTGCTGAAAGGCCAGGCTTGACTGGGGCTTGGCCAGGTCTGGGGGCTGCACGCCCGGGTAGCTATGTAGGGCGGTTCCTGAGAGCATCATAGGTGACGGCTGAGACAGGCTATTCTGCATGAATGCCTGCTGAGACCTGGAGAAAACAGATATCAGTAGGCCTCATTAGGTGCTTAATAAAGACAGCGAAAACAAAGGACATGTTTGGGATGCATTACCAAATACAGTGACTACAAAACATACAGGATGTTTCAGGAAAAGAGAAAGCAAAAGACCTGTAGAGCTCTTCATGTTCATTATCTATGAGTGATTTGTCAGTAGTGACATTAAATGTACCTGTAGGGCTGTATGGAGGAACTGAAAAGGTCTTGTGGCTGAGAGACTGGTGGGCCAGTGCTGAGGCCAAGCTGGGCTTGGTGCTGGGGCTGACCCTGCAGGGGGGCGTAGATGGGGATTGGAATCTGCTGCACTGCTGTAGGCTACATGAGCACAAACACAAGCTGTTGTCAAAAACAAATGTAATGTACAGACTACACAGACTTGCAGTTCACACACAGTGTAATATACAGACAAAAGATCAGAACATCAAAGCATAAGAACAATATAAACATATATCATTCTGTCTTAAAAAACAAAGATAGATGAGGAGAATTCAAGTCAGGTCCTGGAGGGCTGGGGTTCAGGAAAGTTTGGTGATTTCTCTGCTCAAACACTCAAAAGTGGCAATTAACAGATGAGTTGAATGAGGTGTGTTTAAGCAGTGAAGTCATCAAGCTGTGCTGGACACCAGCCCTCCAGGACCAGAACTGAACAGCCCTAGCATAAGATTACCCTAATCAGAACAAAATTATAGTAATACAAGTTTTGTAAGAAAATACAGGTGAGAAATCCTTGGCAAAGCATCAGCTTTACAGACACACAGGAACCTCCCCAAACACGCAGCTACATGACCAACAACAGAGTATTAATACTGAAAGTAGGCTGGAGGCACCTGTGAGAGACCAGGCTGAAAGCCCTGCTGCTGGGCAATGGAGGGAGGAGCCAAGCGAGGGTGTGGTGTGCTGAACAGGTGACTGGTGTCCATGTAGAACGCTGAGATTTGGGCTGCAGAACCTACACACAAGCAAATACAAAGTACACCGACAACAAAATTTGAAAAAAATTAAAGAATGAGGGAGCTGATTACTTAAGTACAGCACGGTTAAAATTAGGGAAATAAATCTTCCATGAAATAAATCACCAGAGTGATAAGCCAGGTATTGTTACTGCATACAAGAGAATATGTAATTTTGTGCAGACATATGTTGATACAGAGACATTTGAACTTTTTTTATGCGCATTTATGCATTTGTTTGAGAGCATCATGCGAATCCTGTACCTGCTGCAGACTGGGAAACAAAGACTTGTGGGGTTTGCTGCTGCTGCTGCTGTTGGGGTAACAAGGAGGGCACACAGCCCAGCTGGGAAAAGTTGTTGGACATCCCAGAACTCTGCAGCTGCTGGGGCTTCACTTTGCAGATGTTGGGAGGGTCAGACGCAGATGTGGTCTTGGTGCTCAAAGATGACGTGGTATAGGTGGCCGAACCTGCAGAAGTAGAAGGCTCATCATTATCATCTACATCCTGATTAGCTGACCAGTCAAAGGCAGTATTAAGCAACTTAACATACAATTACATAGACTGATACACATCAGATTCTGTGCTTTCAGCTTGGAGGCTTACCTGACAGTGATGTGCTAGGTGTAACTGAGGCCACAGGTATCTGAGGCACAGAGGCGCTGGAGAATGAGCTGAAAGAGGCACTGCCTGCTCCTCCTCCACTGGTGATGGGGGATGCAGAGGAGGTGACAGGAGAGCTCTTCTCTCCCAGACTGGGAGAGTTCTCCCATGCCTTACGAGCTGACTCCATCTGTGGAAATGGCAGAAATGAGCGAAAGGTTATGCGTGCTTCTGACAGATGTCAACAAGATCAACATATATAGTGCTGCACTTGACAGGGCTTGAAAAGTAAGCAGTTGACAGACATTGCACAGCTTTAAAGAGGAGCTTTCTGAGATTTCTCTGGCCAAGCATTATAGGACTGCACTCCTATCTGAGCGCAGTTGCTTATTGTGCAGAAAAGTCAAGATAGAGGGTGCACAACCGCTTCACCTTCAGTGTGAGGTCCACTGTAGCAGGAGAGACAGTGCTGAGGCTGGAGCTCTGCTGTAGGGCTTCTCTACGGGGCAGAGGCAGAGAATGAGGCAGCGCCACCTGGAACAATACACACAAGGAGGGGAAAGAGACTTCACAATGTGCAAAACTGACTTGGAATCACAGTTATGGCAATGGGCAGAGAGAAAGAAGAGCAAAAGCAAGCAATAGAAAAGAGAAGAATCATTGAGTGAAAACAGAAGAAGAAAAAAAAAATAAATAAAATTTTAAATGCAGTTGTACTATGGCTCACATTAGCAACCAGGCTCTCCTCCATTTTGCTCCCTCCGGTGGGCACAGTATCAGCCAGTGAGGAGGACGGAGTAGTGTAGTCAGTAACAGACTCCTGCAAAAAAGAACACCAATGTCACTCACATACAGAACAATATACCAAAATGACCTAATAAGGAAGGTTTGTTTCTACATTCAAAACTATCCATCAAATAAATTAAATGGGATAAATATTTTAAATTAAAAAAATACTCTTACATAAAGATTGTGAATATGGCTGTCTTTACTCAAACATAAAATAAAAGCTTTGTAAATTCAGTTATAGAGGTTCTGCCAGTTCCATACCTTGGAGCTGCTTGAGTACTCAGCTGAGGGGACTGTGATCATGCCCTCAATATCTCCTCCAAGTTCAGGAACTTTGTCTTTAGCAGGGGAGTTAGAGTCTCTATCCCGGCTGCCTCCAGGGCCACCCTTCTCCAAACCTTCTCCATCTGACTGGCGGCCATCTTTGGCCTTCCGGTTCTTCAATGAGCGCTCCTTACCAATAGGGCCTGGCTTGTACTCCTTCTGCTCTGGAGCAGCAATATCAGGCAGCTGGTGGACAAATATGGTCAGGGATATAGCTTAGGGTCATAAATACTGTGTTTCACAGTACAACACACATATATTCTGTTGTGCATTTAGGTATGTTAGCATGTAGCAGAGCACTTGACGGCCTTTCTACGGTTGTGTGTGTCCCTGTATACCCAATTATGACAATGCGCATGTGCGAATGTCTTACTTTTTGTGGTTTGATGGGCCCAGCACGAGGTTGTTTTTGTCTCTGCTCTTTTGGTTCAGGTAGTTTATTATCAGATGTTTTTTCTAGTAACGCTGGTACTCCATCACTGTCTGTGCTACCCGCAGATGAGGGAGCTCCAAACTGTATACTCTCCATGCCAAGTTCCACACCACCCTCTGTTCCAGACTTCACACCCTATTACACACACACAGAATGACTTAAGGATCAGTATTAAGATGCAGGGGTGCACATCTTAGTTTAGTATGTTTTGTGGAACCCTAAAACTGCAACATATTACAGCTGAAATCCTGTATTGGTCCAACCGGGCAAAACACAGGTTAAACTATGGAGCACACATAAACATGTAATTAGTGTGAATTACACAACACAGACTGCACTGCACTCACTTCAGAAGCCACGTTCCCAGTGAAGGAGGTCAGGGGTTTATTCCACGCACTGACTGAGGGTGGCTGAGGAGGGCTGATGGGTCCAACTGGAAATAAAGATTGACCATTAATAAAGTTAAAATGACATTATGACACAATCAATAACTAAAATGATTGGAACCTGCTCAGTAATGTTTTGACAAGTGATGTTTAAAGCCTTTTTCATTTCATCTATCAAAAACAAAAGGGACATTGCAAATCAATACATTTTTTTTCCTAACTGATCACCCCCTTATTCTATAATGAAACATTTCTATCCTGATGGGAACAGTCTCTTTCAGGACGACAATGCCCCAATCCACTGGGGACGATAGATAACTGAAAAGTTTGAGGAGTATGAAAATGATGTTAACCAGGAGTGTCCAATCTTTTCTGCAAAGGGCCGGTGTGGCTGCAGGTTTTCACTCCAACAAAGCAGGAGGTCATCTGATGAAACGTTTAAAGACTGAGACCAACTGATTAAACAAGTAGAGTCAGGTGTGCTCCAGATGCTTTGGAGTGAAAACCTGCAGCCACACCGACCCTTTGCAGATAAAACTGTTCAGTGATCAGATCAACAAAACTGAAAACCTAGGGAAGACTTTGGATAAATGTGTCAGATGAGGTGTTAGCTCTTCACCACAGTCAAACACTAACTGAGGCAATAAATTTAGGAAAAACCCCAAAAATCCTATTAAAAAGCACAGTAACCACAAAACTCCCCAAAAGCGATAAAAATTTTTAAAATGCTTACGTTTCTTGACATCCGGGAGCACTGTGGAGCCAGCAACCTTATTCTCCCACAGTTCTGTACCCAGTGTGCTGTGCGTCTGGGTCTTGGTAGAAAATTCAACAGTTGCAGCAGGCAAAGGGGCCACAGTACCCTCTAAAGGCTGGGAAGAGCTGGTGCTCTGGGCCTGAGCAGGAAGGCTGTGCTGGGACACAGAGACAGCTGGCTGTGGCTGAGACTGAGGCTGCTGAGGAGGTTGAGAGGGAGCAGTCTGGGTCTGATGGGCTGGTGTTGCAGCCTGCTGCTGAGACACTGCTGATGCTTGCTGTTGCTGCTTTTTGGCAAACCGTGGAGGCAATTTGGAGCCGCCTCCACTTCGACCTTTCTCCCCTGAACTCTTTTTATTCCAGTTCTAAAAATAAAATGCACAGGATTATAGACTTGCATCTGGATTGAAAGAGAGACAAATCTTCATATCTGGGAATTACAAGCTTTATTCTAATACAGTATAAGTAAGTAAATGTTCCAAGTCCAAGCCCTCCCACAGAATGGTGCATTTCATAGGTTTTACACAGGCACAGATTGTATTAAGCATGTTAAGTCATTCTTTACTCAGTTGTGACTCAACTGCAAACTGTCACCATAAATGACTACCAAACAAGTATTTCTTCGCTGACCTGTACGGTCTGTTCCTCTTTCTTCCTCCTCTCTTCGTCCTGCAGACGTTTCTGCTGTTTCCGAGACACAACCTCTGTGAAGCCGTCATCATTAGTGTTGGACTGTGGGTCCTCCAGCGTTGTCACCTCTGGATGGTCATCAATGATTACCACACCTGAAATCATGAAAAACAAAGCAGAGTGAACCACTGTGCTTTAAATCATCTTAAAGCTCAAAAGGCTGACAGTGCACCGAAATGCAACATTTAACTGACTTAAAAACAGAGCTGGCATTATAGAAGATTAATCACTCACTAGCATAGTTATTAAGGTCAAACTGAGACAGAGCATTCTCCTTCTCCTTTGGTTTCTTCACAGCTTGCTTGGCCTCCTCTTTGCGACGGCTAGTTGCTGGCTCTTTACTGGCCTTCTGACTTGCTCCCACCTGGGTGCCCTCCGCACTCTGAGCTGCAGCACTACAGAGACAAAACAACAAAAGGCTCAATATGAAGAGTCAGTGAGAGAAATGCATGGAAAACTCACTCAGAATTCAAATGTCAAAATTGGGAGAGGGGAACAGCAGAGCTAATGTAAGTAATAAGGACCCCTGCAATGCATTTACATTAAAATTTGTTAAAGAACAAAATGCTTCAGCAAGGGACTTCAGCAAGGCGGCAGGGAAGCAGCACTACTCTGATTAAGAGGGTGTTCTTATTAAGAAAATGCACGAGATGCATGGCAGTCTAAAAAAAATCTGTCTATATTTAGGCACCTATATTAAGAAAACCATCTGCAATTAGCACAGGACATATCACCCACAAATCTGGATCAAATGAAGGTCTATTAAAAGACTGACTCTCAAAGCTGCATCCCCAGCATTGCACTTACAAGGCACTACAGAAATAAATAAGTATAACCTGGGAGTCTATAACCCCCAAAAAAATAAATAAATAAAAAAAATAATAAAAAATTTCAACATTACTCAGACAAAAATCAATCAATAAATAAAATACATTTTTTTGGTTAAAATATTGGTGACTGCAGCTCATTAGACCCTGAAGGAACCTATTAGGCCCTGAATAACAAATCAACAGAAACATCAGAAATGTCTTTTTCCTTCAAATGACAGCAAATAAAGCACTCACCCTCTGCGTCCAGATTTGGCTCCTGACCCTCCCCTGCGCTCGCCCTTGCCTCCTGGGTATCCTCGGCCTGATTTGGCCCCACTATTGCCTCTGCGGTTCTGTCTGTCCACGGGCCTCTGGCTGGAGAAGCTCCTCTTGGCTGAGGGAATTGCCTCACGCTTTGGAGTCACTCCTCCCTCAGTGGGGGACTTGTTCTGGGCTCTTGTAGGTTGAGGAGGTGCAGAAGAAGAGGATGCTGTTGCAGCAACAGCTGCTTCCAGCGCACCCTTCCTTTCTTCTCGTTCCCTTCGCTCATTGAAGTCACTGCTTTCAGAAGCTGTTTCCCATTCTTCGTTGGCCTGGTCTGAAGAGTTCTGATTTGACAGGTCAGGTGATTTGCTGCCAGCAGCAACCACTCTAGTGGTTCCCGTTTCAGGGAGAACCGTCTCTGTGACAGGAAGTTCAGGAGGACTGGGGGCAGCAGCGACAGGTGCTGGGGTGGCAACAGCGGCACTTTCAGGTAGAGTGACTGGTGTTCCAGGAGCTTTGGACAGTGTTGGGGAAACAGATGCAGGTCCTGGGTCAACCAGTGCTTCTGCAGCTGCTGGGGCAGCTGCTTCACCTGCTATGACTGCTGCTTCTCGTTCCTTAAGGCGTCTGAAGCGTGGGGGTTTGTCCTGCCTGGGAGGTCTGGCAGGCCTGGGTCTCCGAGGTCTCTCCCTTGCGCTTTGGCCCCCTTCTCTCAATTTCTTACCTTCATATTTAGGCAAGCGCTGTTCAGCCGCCATGCTGTCCAAACGAGATGTCTCTGCTTCTTCTGGTCGGAAGGTCTCCATGGGTTTGGAAGGCCCTGGCAGGCTCTCCCGTGCTCCAGCCCGACGCAGCGGAGCTGATCTGGGTGCTCCCCGTTCTCTGCCTCCTCCTCTTCGGCTGTACAGTCCCCCTCTACCACGTCGTGATGGTTCACCCTTTGGCAGAAATCCAGGTTTAGGCCGGCCCTCCTCTTCAACCCGAGAGCCAGACTTGTCTGGTAGATGCCCAGGCCCAAAGCCTGAGGCAGCTTTGACAGAGGGGCGAGATTCTGGTAACTCACGGCGCAGGGGTCTGCTGGGCTTAGCACTGGGCTCACGGTCAGAAGGGCCAGTGTCGCTGGCAGACTCTCTGCCTTCGCTTTCCGAGTCTGTGTCTGAGCCTCTCCTGCGTCTGCGCTTGGGCAGCACTTCGAAGTCTGAGCTTTCACTGCGAGTCTCGCTCTCCTCACGACAGCGGAACCCTGTACCTCCGGCAGCTGTTAGCAAGTCTGAGCGAGAACGTGGCTCTCTATATGGGAAGTCGCCTCGACTTCGCCCACGACTACCCCTCCCTCTACCACTGTAGCTGCCCCTGTAACTGCGACCACGCGAGTAGTATTCCCCTCGACCGCGGCCTTTGAAGTTTGCATCGGAAGGCCAGTCAATGTCCCTATCAGCCTCTCTGTCCCGCTCACGGTCTCTTTCTCTCTCCCTCTCCTCTCTGCGGTAGGCTCTAGGTGGCAGGTTGGACTCTTTACGTGATGGTAGTTTGGGTTCGGAGCGTTTCTCACTGGGAGGAGGCTTGCTTGGTTTTTCCTCTTGAGTGTTGGCGGTACCTGCTGACTGTGACTCTCTCGCTTTGCTGGCACCTGCAGGCGCTCCCTCTTCTGGTTCGGCCACACTCTCCTTCTGATTCTCGCTAGAGAGCTTTTGTCCATCAGACACCGTGGCTGCAGCAGATAAAGGGGCTTTGAAGGTTGACCCTTCCTTTTTTGGTCGCTCCCCTCGCTCATGACGCTCCTCTTTCTCTCTCCTTTGTTCGCGCTCTTCCTTCATGTCCCGCAGGACAGGTTTCTTTATCGGCCCAGACCTCCTAACTGGCCGCTCCCCTCCTGCTCCATCTCTCCTCCCTGCACCTGAGCCACGAGAGCCCCAGCGCAACTCAGCCTTCTGCTTGTTGGATGCTGCCAGTGGTAGCTTTTCTGCTTTGTGCATGCTTTCAACAGCAGTGGGTGGAGTTGCCCGGCTGTTAAGTGCAGGTCCCGGGCCGAAAGGCTCTTTTCTACAACTATCCTCTAACCGTTCTGTAGCACTGGGGAGATCCAGGGCCTTTTGAGCTTTGGAAACTCCTTCAAACCTGGGCTCTTCCACTTTGAGTGAGTGGCTGGAACCTTGCGAGATGGTCCTCTTAAGAACAGCCTGCCCTATGGACTCCACCTCCTCTCCACCCGAGAGTGTGGCTGTCTCGGGCTCAAAGGAAGAGATACCTGGGGTCCTGTCTGTCTGCAGGAGACCTGGCACCTCTTCTGAGACACGGCTGAATGTCGAGAGAGGCTCAGAGGAGTCCCTGAAAAAGTCACTCTTGCTCCTAGGCTCCAGGGAGCTGTGTTCCTGGGGATAAACAGCTGACAGTCCTCTTTCCAGCTCCAAACCAGCATCAAGTCTGACCATAAAAACAGAGGAGTGCACATGAGATTAGAAGCTCTAATTTAAAGTTTTACATGATAAACCTTGCTCCATTCATTAAAATCTGGACCAACAAGGATGGATCAAAAGTCTGGAAGGTTTCAATGGTTATATATTGATGCAGATGCCAGCTAAAACTTAGACATTAAATTATCAGTTGTAATTATTGGTTGCAATTTAATATGGGACCCGTTATTGTTACAATAATGGTTTTAACCATGTTGCAATATTGTACATCACTAGAAACTACAATTCATTCATGTGAAAAATTAAGATGTTAAAACCAACTAGTGTAATCAATTAAACGTTTACAGTTACATCCAGTTTCCCAACCTGGGCTCCTTGCAGTCCTCCCGACATTTAGGGGGCGTGGCAGAGGGTAAGGGCTCAGCTGAGGGATAAGGATCAGAACCCCACACCATCCGTGGATCACTAGGCATTCCATGCTCTCTGACTGGTCGGGTCAGATGGTCAAAGGAGTCAGAACCAGAGCTGCTGTTATCTGTGGGCTCTCTCCGGACCAGCTGCTTCGGAGGCATTCTGCCTGCTTTTGAAAAAAGACAAAACCACCTTAAAATAAATGTAACACCAGAAATACTCCAACACATAGGTAAATAGAAACTTTATTTTTTTCAGGTTTGAGAGCAATTCTGTTGCCATTATGAAAATAATGACAATCTACCTGGATGCATGGGTGGCATATCCATAGGAGGGCGTCCAGACATCATGCGTGGATCCATATATGACTGCATCATCAGCCAGCGTGGATCAAAGCCCATGGAGGCCAGGTGTTGGTGGTGAGGACCCAGCGGCTGATAGAGAGATCGATGCTGGGGAGGAACTGATGCTCCTGAGGGGGACACTGAGCCTCCGCCACTCTGTTGTTGTTGCTGCTGCTGCTGTTGTTGTTGTTGCTGCTGCTGCTGTTGCCACTGTTGTTGTTTTAACTGCTCCTAGGAAAAGAACACAAGGTCTGTCAAAAAGCAGTGAGTTTTCCTGTGTGCGACCTATACGTTTCCCAATTATGCCCACTAACTTTGACTTTCACAGGTCAAATGCCCCCTGGAGTCTCTCTACACACTGGTTGTTAATAAGCCCCTAAAATGTTCAAAAGTAAAGAGACATCTCTTCTAATTAGTAAACGCAGCTACTTTAAAGTGTATCCATTGCTGACAGAGGTGGTTGACTGCACACACAGCTTGTATAAATCTCCACAGTCGAGCACTGCCAATAGAATTGGATGATCTGGAGCAGCCCTACATGAGCCTAAGGTGAAAAGCCGTTCCATAACATCAACACTGATTACCTGATTAGCCTGATTACTTGTGGCAAGTAAAAGACTAAGTTAGAACAGCAGCACTGAAAAACTTGACATTGACTTTTTCCAGGAACATTTTTTTCAGTGAACATGCTAAATTTATGTTGCTACAAAAAGAAAACGGTCTTATCCAGTTGAGTGTCAAGTTAAATCCCCCAATCAGCTTGTGGGCAAGATAGAACAACGCTGCTAGCTTATCAGGACCTCTGGACAAAACAAACAAAAAACAAACAAAAAAAAAACAAAACACTGATGCGCCAAAAGTAATGGGACAGACCCCCCTAGCCCAGCGAAGTGCAGCAACTCGACGTGGCATCGATTCCACAAGTGGACGGAGGACGTCGGGAGGGATGTTGAGCCATCCACAGCTTCGTGGTATTTGTAGGTGCAGGATCTTGGGTGTGAACAGACCTCTCCACCACATCCCATAAATGCTTGATCGGGCTCGTGTCGGGCGAACATGCAGGCCACACCATTTGTCGGAACTCTGCAGAATGCTCTTCAAACCACTTCTGCAACTTCTGCACCGATGGCCCTGTGCATTATCCTGCTAAAATATCCCATCATTTTAGGGTGTACATGAAGTCCATAAAGGGCTGTAAATGGTCACCAAGCAGTGAAACGTAGTGGTCATTGGTCAATGACGTGCTTAGGTGGACCAGGGGACTCAACCCATGCCATGAGAACACACTGCACACCAGTATGGAACAACCAGAAGCTTGCAAGGTGCCTTGTTGACAACTGTGGTCCACAGCTTCATGTGGTCTGCGCCACACGCAAATACTACCATCAGCCTGAAACAACTGGCACCGTGACTCACTGGAAAACACCACATGTTGTCTGTACTCTGAGGTTCAGTTAGCAACCTCACAAGCCCAGATGAGGGTCCAGTGTCCAGTGTCTTAGTGTAAACAGACACTCTGCTGGGTCTTCTGCTCCCAGATCCCATGAACGCTTAAGAACGCTGAATTGACTTGCAGGATATGCGTGTGGGGCCTCCTGCATTGAATGCAGATGTGAGTCGCTTGTCTGCTCGCAAGGACAATTCTAGCCATACGCCGCCAGTGATGATCATTAAGCACCCATGGGCGGCCACTGCACTGTCCACTGTGGCTGGTAATGGCTTCTATGATGTATTCCCGGTACGCGTGACACTATGGATTGAGGAATGTTAAATGCTCGCACAACTTCGGAAATGGAATGTCCTATCCGTCTCACACCAGCTATGACTTGCTCTAACTCCGATAATTCATGCCGCCTTACCATGAGCACGGTGGTCAGGGTTCAACCTTACAACATATACAGGTGTGGACGTTCCCAATCAGTCGCCCGAAATAAAGCCACTTCATAATCAATTTACATACTGCTATCACATGACTTTTGGCACATCAGTGTAATTCTAATAGTACAGAAGACACTCTTGTCCTCCCACCCTCACATTCACATACAGTACTAAAAAATTTTTGCACTGGAGAAAGAGCTCATACATATGTAATTGCTTTTATTCTGAGATTAAATTAATGGCCCTAATGAGATTTTTATATGTGTACCCCATTTACAGCTCAAAAAAAAAAAAAAATTAAGCAAAAATGTGTTTAGGACAGTGAACTTTGTTGGAGGGGAAAAAATTAATGTTGAACCCTGATTACAGAAAAAACGTTGGTCTACAACCCACTGAGCATATGCCGACCAGACAATTCCTTGAATCTGCACTTTATCTTTGTCCATTTTATCAGCTCTTAACACAATACTAGTGCATTTTGTAGTTCTACAATTGCAGATCAGTCCATCTGTTCTTCTGCATACTTTGTTAGCACTCTTACTTTGTTCTTCAATGGTCAGGACCCCCGCAGGACCATCACAGAGCAGGTATTATTTGGGTGGTGGATCATTCTCAGCACTGCAGTGACACTGATATGCTGGTGGATAAGACACAGCAGTGCTTGCTGCAGTCTTTAAACACTGTCCACTCTATTAGACACACCCACCTTGTTGGTCCACCTAGTAGATCTACAGTCAGAGACAGTAGCTCATCTGTTACTGCACAGTTTGTGTTGGTCATCCTCTAGTCCTCCACAAGCAGTCACATGACATTGCCTATGGGACGCTACTGGCTGGATATTTTTGGTTGTTAAACTCCGTCCAGCAGCACTGCTGTGTCTGATCCACTCAACACACGCCAACATGCCACCACAACATCTGAGAATGATCCACCATCCAAACAATACCTGCTCTGTGGTGGTCCTGGCCATTGAAGAACGACTACAAAGTGCTTCTATAAGGTATGTGGACCAGATAAAATGGACAATGACTGCAGACAGGAGATGCACTTAATGAAGTGGCCAGTTGGTGTATGCTTGAAAAAAAGACATTGCCTTGTTTTACACATACGACTTCAAGAGAAATAACGGTGAAACAGAACAAACAGACCACGTCTAACATGAGGAATATACCTGCTGTCGGAGGAAGCGAGGTGGCAGAGATTTCTGAAACTGTTTGGAGTATCCAGAGGTGAGTGAGGGACGGACAGTGGTCCCTGCCTCAGCCTCATTTTCCAGCTGCTGATGGGGAGCGTCCTCATTGCCAGAGTGATCCAGCCGAGGAAGAGACAATTGAGGCTCTTCCACTGCAAAAGAATACACAAGTTACTATGAAACTTTAATTCAAATTTCCATTGTGTGGCTTAGGGCAATTCAGAGGTTGCAAAGCCTCTTTTGTTTGAAAGGTGCTCTACAGGTGCATATTTATTATTGTTGTTTCTATTATTTAAAAACCGCATGTTATGTCCAGATAACAAGAGTGACGGATGGTGACAGATGACAGTCTAGCCTATAAGACTGGAAACTTTCCATTCCCTTACCTCTGCACTCTTCCGTGGTAAAGTAGTCTCTCATTGGTTGTCTCTCCACCTGCACCTCCTCAGTTACAGCAACATCTACCTCAGTCACTTGGGATTCCTGAACAGTCCTGTGGGCAGGAGGGCTGGGTTGCCTAGGTGCAAACTGTGGCTCCTCCTCCACACTTGGCTCTGGCCTATCATGAGAAGGCAAGGGCACAGATGGGTGGGGATGCTGCAAAGGACCAGCCTGAGAAGTTGGGGTTTCACTGGGCAGGTTAGGCACGATTTCAGTCTCTTCTGGCTCAACACTGTGAGCTGGTGTAGTTGCTTTTGTAGTCTCTGTCGTAGCAGCAGGTCGAAGTTTCTCATTGAGGCGTCTGAGTTTCTCAGCACAGGCGGCCAATCTTTGCTCCTCCATATGCCTCTCTTCTTCCTCACGCCGTCTCCGAGCACGTTCCACAGCCTCAGAAAGTTCAGACTGCTTCTTCCGTCTTTGCCGCCAGGCCTCCGAGTCATCCTCAGCGGAGGCTGTGGTGGATGGCTTTGCTGCACGAGCAGCACCACTTCCTAGAGAGCGCCCTGCTGCCTGACCCTGTGAAGATGATTATATAAAACTGCCATAAACTTCTTGATCAGCTTCAGACAACTTGACTATTGGTAAAACCAATCTCGTCCAGTGTAACGTTTAAATTCTCATACACAGATCACAGTGGTTGAATGTTAACATACATTGCAGCAAAAACTTCTTGCAATGACAAAACATTTTTGATCCAGATTTTCAATGAAACAAGAATTGTGTTCTTTACCTGGTAGTCTGGGGATGGTCCTGTTTTGTTGTACTGAGTCATACTGCCTGGAGAGGGAACTCTAGGGTCCACACTGTCTGCCCATGCGCCTTTGCTCTCACTTTTCTCCTCCCCTCCCTCTTTCCAGCCTTCCTGAGCATCGGTGTTGCGTGATCGCATGCGGTCCACCTTACTCATCCATTCCCTGAATGTAAAAACAGGGATGTTACCTCCCACATTTATAATTCAGTCCTTTCACAATTCATTAATGGCCATGACTAGAACCACAATATGCTGAAGTCACAACTGCTTTTGCAGGAAAAAGTTTTGAGACAGCTTAAACAGTTGTCCAAGGTCATAAAAAGAAAAGCAAAGCATTTAAGATTGCCATTGGTTAATTAAACTGACCCCCCTACCCCAGCCCTTATTCAAAGGAACTAAACAAATGTCACAATTATACTGATTATTTACCTCCATAAAGACAAGTACTCACCAGTTGTCTCCTTTCTCCTTAGCTGTATGATTCTCCTCATCATCACTGAAGTTCAGCTTCTCTGTGTAGTCAACTTCCATTTGGGCTCCTGTGGACAAATGAAAAAGGTAAAACCTAACAGACAGCAGTACATTACATTAGGTCATAAACAATCTCTATACTGGTCTCAAAGTAAAGACCAAAGAGAACTGACTCACCAGCCCAACCCTCATCAGCATCTGTGTCCAGATTGTCAAGCTCCTTCAGCTCTGAAGCACTAACAATAGAGGGTCGGTCTGGATCCTGCAGCCAGGACTGAGGAGGAGGCTGGGAAGGCCTTCCACTCCCCCGTGAACCTCTGAAGGAAGAAGGAAGAAGAAAGGATATAAATTGACCTTGAGGTTGAAGAGGGTTGACAGAGTTGAGAGGACGTTTTACAAAAGGAGCAGTTACACACTCATAACTCATTATATTCTTTTCAAAAGTGAATTCCACCCACTAGTTAGGCCTCCCCCATTCACACGATACTACCAACGCTAGGAGGGTGAAGGCTAACACAGGCTTCCTCCAAGACCTGTGAAGCCAGCTACTGCATCTTTTCGAACTGCCGCTGACAGCTGAACGCACTCGGAGGAAAGCGCCAACCACCGGTTCTGTTACATCAGCTAACAGGCGCCTGCATTGCGTTGAGTGCGAAGTCAATTGTGTTCTCTTGGACTCCCGGCCATGGATGGCTATAGCATCACCAGGGATCGAACTTGTGATCTCCTGATGATAGGGCCAACGCTTAGACGGCTGCCCCACTCGGGAGGCCCAGTGGCATACTGTTTGACTTAAAATGTTAGGGTTTAAGGCAACCAAGGATCTTTGCAGAAAACTAACACGCTCAGTCTGGTGAGAACACAAATCAGTTTAACCAAAAATGATTAACTGGTAATTTGTTTACTGCAACATGAACTGTTGTTCTGACATTAACACGTATCACACGCCACTTAAGATAGTTTGGACTACTTACTTTGATCCATCTTGTTGGCCAGAGAATCTAAAGTTTCCTTGCACAGCTGGATATGGCATACGAGAATATGGAGGGAACATCTACGGAAAAAAGTATGACGTTAATTTCAAAAACTATATTATAATGACAACACACTTTCAAACAGAACTGCAGGGGAATTAAAAGGGGACTGAATAATTTAACAAAATTAAAAGAAAAAAAATTAAGCATGTTTATATAGTTCAACATTAACCTAATGTAAAGTAAGCACAGAAATGCTGATTTAACAACATGGCTTGATAATCATCTTCAACTGTTAAATGTTTCATTTAGTATGGTGCCAATTCAGCAGCCAAGACACAGCCCAGAAACGTGCCTATAATGCTCCGCATTTGACGCCAAAAGGAAAACAAGCAGAGAGCTGCCAGCCGGGAGGGTTGTGAAACCAGCGAGTTACCAACTAAAACAGCTCATAATACGTTCTCTTCACAACTTCTCTAAATATTCACAATATGACAGTAGAGAATCAACTCATCACTTACATAAGGTGGCATCATGTTCCTAAACTGGGCATGGAACTGAGATGTTACACCTCCAGGTGGCTGCTGTCCACCATTGACTTTGTGCTGGGAGGCAGGAGCAGAAAGCCTGTCTCTGGCATCTCTCTTTTCCCCAGTGCTGTGTTTCCCTTGCTCATCTGAGTCCCCTGTGGGGGAGGGAGTGCCTCGACCCACCCCCGCCTCCTCAGAAGCCTTGCTGTCCATCTCCGAGGGGCTGGGAGCTACATTCAGATTTCTACCCCCACCCTCCCGCCAGCTGCCCACATCTACGGAGAGAGGAGAATGAAGCAGAGAGAAAATAAATAGCGGGTTTTCCTTAGTGACATTTCATTTCTTGAGGGTTTGTTTTTTGTACAACAATGTTGACATCACAGTCTGAGAGAGTTGCAGAACGTACTCTGAGGTCTGAGGCTGGGGCCTGGTCCATAGGGCTCTTCCTCCTGCTCGGCCGATTTCTCTGCCTCACCTGCTGCCTGCAGGCTGGGGAACTCCTGGTGGAACTGGCTGCTTATTCGTGGACCTCCTATTTAGGCAGGACGTTTGTAATTAATTCACAGAACCTTCATCTGTCCTGACAGTCAGCACAGCATATAAGAGGGCAAATTAAAGTTTACATTCATGTGTAATGCCAAATGACAATTCACTAGACTCTCCAAAAGGCCAATTTTCTGTCAGCTACACTTCAAAGGACAAGATCTGAATTTTTAAGCATTCTCTAGATACATGTGTGTGCATGCTATGACTAACCATCGAGTGTTCCAGACTGCTTGTTGTTGGCCCAAGAGCGGCTAACGCCCAGAGAAGTGTCAGCCGCCTGAGGAACAGCGGGCTTTGGCTGTGGGGGAGGGGTCTCCTGCTGCCTATAAACAATAAAAGAGAGAAGAAAACCATCAGACAAAAACCTTTATGCAAATGTGACACTGGTAATTATCAAAACTGTAAACAAAGAGAGATACAGATACTGAATGGATGTTTTGGGTTTATTTTTAGAGACAGCTGAGGAGGAAGCAAGAAAGGATCTAATTAAGGAAGATGATTGGAAAAAGGGAGGACAGCATAAGAGAAAAACATAGGAAACAGTATTTGCCCAACTGGAGAAAGACGATCACGTTACACTTTGAAACAGACCTGCCAACAATGCTTCTCACCCCTTCTATCTCCTTCTGTACCATGCATTAAACTAAGAATTGGCATTGAGTATAATCAACGTTGTGTTGAATAATCAATTTTTATATATCAGGATCTGTGTATTTTGCTGTAAAAGGCTTGATACTGGAAATGGTTGCTATAGCTCTAACACAGTCCACAATACCCCTACATGTTACTGCTGCTCCATTTAAGGTGGAACAAACAAGTTTAAAGAGAAGCTGACAAATAAGAAGCCAATTTCGGCCCCATGGAGAAAACAAGTCTCAGCATCTATTTCTACCCACAGGAATCAAGCAGACACTGAATCTCAATGAGTGAAACAAGTAACTAATAAAGGATTCTGTACTGAAAACGTATTGCATCGCGATTCAAACATGAAATATGCATCGTATTGTGGAATTTGCATAGTTACATCTCTATTTGAAATTATATATCTTTTCAACCTAAACAGTAGCTAGCCACTAGTTACCATCCAAAAGTCAGATTCAGAGTTTATTCACCTTTAGTTTTCTTTCTATTTTGCACCTATGAGGGAAAACTAAACATCAACAGTCACTGCAGCTGACATCGTCATTACTGAAAAATCACATAAAATAAAATGACAACCTGCACCATGTCCGGTATTCTGCTTTCCCCTGTAATGTCATTCATCATTTTCTCAAAGCAGACATTTTACCTGCTCTGGTTTATTCATATCATTTTTTATTTGAATTTTTACACAGTTGACCTAGCATACTTGAGGTGATTCATGTGACTTATCAGCAACAACTGTGCAACCACAGCTTTTTCCTGTTTGTCTTGTATGCTGTACCGTTCTTCCCCAGCCTGGTCCTGTTTGGAAGCCCAACCACTGCCGTCCTTTGGGACGATGCTGACGTTGGGGTCGTTGCCTTTGTTTTCTGCCTTTAGGCTGGGCAGGTTGGCAGGAGGGGGCATACGCCGACTGACTGCGACTTTCCCCAAACTCTGGAGCCCATGTCTGGCGGCAACTGAAAGGAAATATGTGAGAAAGGATTACTTTCAAGCCCACCCAAGGCATGAAGTTAAAAACTGATAAGATATGAAAATGCAGATTTACACAGAGTGCTTTGGCAACCCAGAAGATGCAATACACCTTCATGATGAACACAGAATTGCTCACAAAAACACATACACTATTGCCTGCTCTCCTAAGGCTCATAGGAATGCATGGTGGTGACTCGATAGGACAAAAGGCCGCTTATTTGAGCGGACGATGCTCTGGAGGAAAGCTGGGGGTAAATGAACCAGGGGAAAAAGACTCCCATCCAGTACTTCACATTCTTCCCAGATGAGCAATGCTTACTATAACAATGTGTGGCTTCTTAAGCAAACCATCTTGAGATTAACATAAGCAGCTCGCAGTTTTGCTAGTCTTAACCTTTATGCAGATGAACCTCTATAACTGTGCAACAAATCACACTGCACAGACCAAAATGGCAGTTTTCTGTGCATTTTTTCAACTGCCCATCATTTAGTGATTTTTACATGTTGAATTGTCTGCAAAATCCCTTACCTGCAGTTTTCTGGGTCTCCAGTGACTTGCCCTTGTAAGTGTTGAAGAGGCTAAGGGTTGCATACTTGGTCTTGCCATCCTTTGCCTTGGTGCTCTGCCCTGACTTCTCTGACATTTCGCTGGAAACTCATTGAGTCTGGTCCTCTGGCCTCACCCCTCAGAACCAGCCGCCTGCAGGGAGATAGAGGGAGAGAACAGTGTGAGCCTGATATTTCTGTTGTGACAGTATGGCTTAAAGGTGAGTCAGCAGGTCAGGAGTGCCTCAGACTGCTTCCTGTCGGACACAGGAACAACATAATGTGCAAAAGTGAGCGAAAAAGAAACACAGTAAAGGTGAGTTTCCATTAACCCAGGCTGACTGAAAGGATAGAGAGTTTCGCTAAAATGTCTCAATAGTGAGTTTTTAAAGAACAAGCTGATGCGTTGGCTTTCAAACCATTTCATACTATCCAAAGTTTCCTTCTATTCCTTCATTTTCTTTAATACTCTGCTTTCCTCAATTGTACCCAAATGACCACATCCTCCCAAATTTCCTTTCTTTGGGAAAAATATAGCAACAATGTGCTAAGATATGTTTTGCCATCTGAAATACAGCTAAAGATATGTGCAGCTTCATAACACTGACATTAATCAATGAAGCATGTCATGTTGCCATGCCTACAGGTGGACTGACGAAGGTGGGGGTCGGAGCGTCCGAGAGCCACATGGAGCTCCATTCATAATTGATGTGGTGTCAAACACAGAGAGGGGCCAAAGCCAAGTGACAGCAAATCATGGGGATCAGGGTCACCTCAACAAATAAGTCATGCCTAGTTATTAACTCACCCACATGCTGGATTTACTCCAACACTTCACTCAAATACAGAGACACACACAGCTGACACACTGCCTAAGTTTTCCAAGTTTCCAAGTTTTGTACTGTATAGCTCAAGCATCACTTGAAAAAATTAAATTTAAAAAAAAAAAAAATTTTTTTGCACATTTCTTTAAAAAGAGAACAATCAGTCATCAGGGCCAGGGTCTTATGATGAACTTGGTCACAAATAAATTGATCAGGTGACTGAGACTGCGTTTCTAAGCTGTTCTAAGTTTAGTTTTTCAACAAATGACAAATCACATACACTTCCTGGGTGATAAACGAAAGTGAAAGCTTTCATGTTCATACAGCCAGGACTTCAGACTAGAGATTTTATCACTGGTTAACAGAAAACCCTAAAACAAAATCATGCAGACATATCTTGCAAGAAACGTATTTTAGATTAATATTGCTATAATTATCATTTCAACACAGCCCTTGACTCTTGCTCTCTTTTTTTTTAATAAATGTAAGGCTTCTCCTTCAGAGAACAAAACAGTGTTTAGTCAAAGGTTGGAAGGGAAATTGGGGAGATAAGAGGCAGATCCTGAGTCTGAACAGACCACTACAGCACAGAACCAACCAAACTCAGCCAGACAGACTGTAATGGCCTTAGAGGCCAGGAGTCAGGCAAGTACACTGGCTGCTAAAGCGTTGCTACTGCACTGCGGCCAGAGGGACTAGGGTGTCCTTCAAAGCTTTCATCACTTCACCGGACAGGGGAGAGTCCACTGCGTCGGTTTGAACAGGGTTATGCTTTCACATGCATCCATGATATAACTGCATTAGTAACAGCCCAATTGATCCTAGACTGGCGGCATCTTGCTCCGAAATGATGCGGACCCCAATCACCAGTGTTCAACATAATCAGCAATAAACACATCAGCTTCACCTCAAAGAATCACGATGCAGTTTATTCACCACTCAGCATGAATACACAGACATCACAGATGCTCTCAAGGGACAAAAAAACATTAATGAAGCCACTTCAATCTAAGGAGGTGCTGCCAGATCAGGCAGTTTGTGGGCACTAGAAAGAATTTACTTCTTGGTGTGAGAACACACAGAGGGCTGGCTGTACTGGTACTAAATTAGTACGGAATAAAGGTTACTTGAAATGGAAAATTTGTTTCAGAAGCATTTCACTTAATATTAACATGAAGTCAAACCAGGATTCGTCTCAATGAGCAGGACATTATCTTCAAGTGAGCTGAAAGGCTTCATCCTCAACCTTCATTCAATTGAATTCAATTATTCAAGCAACAAAAGGGCAAATGAGGTTATCTATTATTTTTCTCATCCTTAATTCTACCTTTTTTTAAAAAATTCCATTGGTTTCTATCCACCTGGTAACATCTGTCTCCTGAATGAACGCACCAATCAGTGCCTACACACCCCTGAGCAATCAGCAGTATTGAGCTAGTGCCCCTGGGGGACAGGCAGAAGTCAATATCTCTACACTAGATTGCCAGGGGTCCTACGACAACTACAGTTACTCTGTAATACAGGCATCCCTCAGTCCAATGAGACTAGATGTTTAAAGTGAAACAAACCCCAAGGTATTGGAGCTCTGTCAAATGTGTTTTGCTTACTTCCTCAACATCATCACTGCCTCGGTTACTTTGCCTACTTTGAATAAGTTTTTACTCAGACAAGGAAGTAATAAGGTGAACGCTCGTCTGCTCATCGAGGTCTTCCCTGCTTTGCCCCTGTTCCTATTACAGCAAAGGGGAAGATGAATCACGTCTCATCTGTTCCTGCTTCTGGTGGTGACTGAGCCTGGAATGCCCCTCATTATGGCTCCACCAGAGCGCAGACAGAGCCTTACTGTATATACTGTACATGGAGTTTGCAGTTGAACCTCTAATTACTGCATCGCCGTAATTCAGAGCCAAGAAGTGGCTCCAACAAACAGGGCAGAAATCTGCAAGAACAGGCAACCTGCCTATACACTGTGGAAAGCAAACATGGTCAGGTCGCCTGCGTCTGGCTACCTGGAGCAAACACGTTTAAGCGCTGAGAAAGAACTGAAATCATCAAGTGATTCTGTTTCATGCTCGCTTTATTTAGAAAAGCGGTTAGTTACCTTCCCAGCTACCGCAGCATTATTAGCAACACAGCTGAGATCAGGGTGCGAACGGGGGGCGAAAGGGTCTCCGCTTTAAATGACACTGCAAATACATTTTCGCTTGCTTTTGGATACGGTTTTAGTTGTTTCCAGGCGGACACAGCTATGCCGAGGAGAAACCGTATGCTATAATGTTCAGTAAGGGTGGGTCACGGCGGCCCGGTGAGGTGGCCTCCAGCTCTGAGCCCCATTTTAACAAGTTTCCCCTCAGCCTGCTCCCCTGCTCGCCTCGGCCTAAAGGAAGCCAAAACTCGCATACAGCACCACACACGAGCGCCCAGCGCCGTAAACGACTGATGTGACAAAACGGGACTAACGAAGTCTAGCGGTTTCGTTTCTGCGCCGTGGCCCGATCAAACCCCCGCAGGGCGCTGGCGTTAGCCGGGCTCCTCTGTTCTCCCGGCGGTGTGGCTCCGTTAGCGTTAGCGGCTCGTTAGCTAGCTTCTCCAGCAGTGCTAGTTACACCTAGCGCCCTCACATGCTGCCTGGTTCGCCTCGGTGATGTTCGAGCTCCCCGCCGCCCTCCAAACGACCGCTTTAAAGCGAAACGTGGAAGACGCTTCGTGCTCGGACTCACCTGTCTCCGCCGGTCCCGTCTCTCTCTCTCTCTCTCTCGTTCGTTCAGAAAGGCCGCTCTGTGCGGGTCTCCCGGCCCGCTTCGCCTCGAGCCTGCGTGTGTCTGTGCGTGTACCTGTGTGTGTGTGTGTGGCCGGCGGTGGATTACAAAAGCTATGCTATGCTATGTTAGCTTAGCTTAGCTCCAGCCAGCAGTCCCACTCAGCCTCTTCTACACGCGAGGCCGATGCCGCCGTCCCGCGCTCCTGCGGCGGCCCTTCTCTCGCTGCTCTTCTTTTAACCGTGACCTGTGAGAGGTGAAGAGCGGCGGGCCCGGTGTGGCGAGCTGCTCCCGGTCGTTCGGCGGTGTGTTTTCTCCGTCCTCTTGCCCCGTTGTCTCGTGTGAGACTCGCCGGTCTCCTGCAGTCAGAGGCCCGCGGCCTGACGCTCGCTCAAAGATGGCACACCGCCAACACACGGCCGTGACGTCACCGCGCCCGAGACGTTATTTGAGAAGCAGCGCGAGCGGCGCCGTGCCTGAAGGGGGCAGCACGAGCTACAGGGCGAAAGACCTTTTCTGTTCTTTTTTTATTATTATTTTATTTTATTATTTATGAGTCCAGGACCAAACTGATGAGACGGGACTCTTATTACAGTGTGAAAATGATTCAGTCAGAAGCAGCGCTTACTTTTACCACAGTCGTCATTTCACTGAAGTAAGGACAGTGATAACTAGTTAGCTGTGGTAGCTGATCTAAAAAAACAAGCTAAAATCAGAGCTGGAAGAATAAAACCACACTCCCACAATCTCAACTGGGTAAAGCAGACAAGCCTAAAATCATGCATTGTTATCTGAATTCAGTAACTACTAAAGCACAAGTAGAAGTAGCAGCCAAAAAGCCAACTTCAGGTTTAAGAAAGAAAGTAAAAAGTCCTCAAGTACAGCCGGCATTTATCAGTGCAGAAAATGAAGTTTGTTAGTAGCTGTTCTTCTGTATTTTGAGGTGCTTTTTTGTCTAAAATAAAATGCTAAAGCTCCAAAGTGAGAGGCGTGAGCAACATCACAGCAGCCCAACAGAACAGAATGATTAGAGCCCAAAAAAATTAGAATTAAATATGAATGAATGAAAATCTCTCTCTCTCTCTCTCTCTCTCTCTCTCTCTCTCTCTCTCTCTCTCACACACTGTCTAAGCTGCTTATCCTTCTGGGTTGCGAGGGAGTGCTGGAGGCTATCCCAGCAGTCAATGGGCAGGATACACCCTGGACAGGACACCAGTCATAATGCAATCTATTTCCTCACAAATATACGTAGGTACATGAAAAAAGGTTTACCCTTCAGATCCATTCATTTCTCTTGGGTGCTTGAAAATGGATAAATTGTCACTTGTTACTTCGCACCACTGATTAAGATGCACAGATTTTGCATCTTTTGAACAAGTATGTAAGTCAAGACCAATGTAAGCAAAGACTAATCAGTGTCTCTGGTCTAATACTTTTTTATTTTGAAGTTTCTACATACATTAGAAACACAGAAATAACCAGAAATGATTTAATGCATAATTAAGGCAGTATGGTATTATTTAATGAAATGTTACAGGATTTCTAGTTTCTCGCTACAATATTTGCAAAGAACATGAATCATGTTGTATTAAGACCACATGAAAACTGCTTGCAAATTCTATCACCAAAAAAAAAAAAAAACCTTTCAGCCAGTAAATTATATTTTTATTAAGTGTTAAAGTAAGGCACTTCTTGGTAAATTGTGAAAAGTTATTGATTATACTGCACGCAAAACAGTGTCTTTAAAATGAAAATGTAATACAGTCATTAAAATGAAATCATTTTCATATGAATTAAACTGAAATGATTTTCAAAGCATCAAAAGGCAAAGATTTTATGAAGTGTCCTAAGCTAACACACCTTTTGCAAAAATATATATAGGTATATCCATTTAAAAATTTTCAATAACAAAATCTACTGTCCTTCTTGTGGTTATGAGATTGATCAGATTTAAATACTAGGAAAAAAGCAGCCTGATTAATTCAGAATTAGCCCTTTAGATTGCTCATTTTTTATGAGTAGGCTACAATACAGGTGGCTTTAGCTTGTGTCTAAATGAAACAATGAATATATACCAAATACTATACTCTCAAACCACAATAAAAGAATTTCAGTGGAACAAAGTAGAGGAGACGGGGAATGGAGATACATCTAGAATTCTCAGATAGAGGGTTATATGCATAACCTAAGCTTTTAAATCTGTAAATTATATGTTTTAATGTACCTTGTTTATAAACAATAGGATCAATCCCCAATAGCTATATCTGGAAAGAAGATGATCAAAACTCCAGGACATTTATGTAAACTACATGTCTTTACAAAACTTTAATGGTTTGAAATGGAAATGTTAAAACTAATTAAAACATTGTCATTTTGCCAGCTAGCTGCACCCTTCTTATACTCTACCTAGCAGCCTTCTTCCACATATTGCTTCTACAGCAGAACATCAGCTTTCTCTGGTGAGTTTGGAGACAGGTTAAGTGGTCACTGCCTTGACATGAGTTGTGGCAGATAAGCTGTTACCCTGTCCAGGTGGGATGAGATATCTGGGAGGATGCCAGTGAGGCTGGCCCTAGTGTAGTAGACAGCTGAGAGCAGAGCAGCAGCAGACACGGACAGGAGGAGAGGAAGAGAAGAGTGGTGCGACTCCTGCCTAGGGACACTACGTGTCTTCATGGGCTGGGCCACACGCTCCCACTGGGTGTAGATAGCCTGGCGAGCCCCCTCCCAGCGGCCTGGCCCGTACAGCCGGTACTGATACGGGGTGGCGGGACCAAACATAACCCTCCAACCCAGACCAGGATCCGTTAAGAACAGCCAAAGGAGGTTAGGACGTACACCCACTTGCATAGCCAGCTCATCCATGTAGGGGACATAGTCTACCTGGATGGTGTGTCTCTGGGAGGCCACATACCTGAGTGAAGATAGCAGAGTTATCACTACAGCAGAGGTCTAGTCAACATGATACACAGATATGTGCCATATACCTAATAGGAAACCACTGGGATTTGCATACGGCTTCTTTTATAGAAACAAAGCTTGCTTCACTGCACAGCAGGAAAATAACTGTGGAGGCAGTTTTATTGTCTGTTGTTTATTTCTCTACAGAAATAACCCAGCTAACACTCTTAAGGCTCTGGATTCTGTGTACCACTCTGCTCTACAATTCATTAAGGGAGACTCGTATTGTACTCATTAAGGGTTACACAACTTATTATTTTTTGCTATTCGACCAGTCCTTCAAAAAAGCATTAGACTAGTCATTAGAACAACCCCTTTTCAAAGTAGCCATAATTGCATAATTGAACCATAATTAGCATGTTCTGGACGTCTCTTAGTTCAGCCTTGAATTTTAAAATAAATGTCTAAAATATTTTAATTAAGTTTTCATTATATTTTGTTGTTTTTTGCTGTATTTTAGTAAGTTTTAGTCTCAGGCACTCAAAGTCTGTCTGCACACTAAAATCACTACAGCTCTCTGAAATGAACCCCTCACTGAGAATTTTAACTGGCTCTAATCCAGGTGCTGTCTGATGGGAAACGACTGTTTATCAAGCTAAACGCTAGTAGCAAGCAGTTGCATCTACTCACCAATAAGCGTTTGAGAGAGAGAGATAAGACTAGTCACAGAAACCGGAAACATTCCTGACATACCACTTCAAGAATTTTTTTCCTGAATTGTGTTTGAAACTGAAGGTAGCAAGTAAAGGAGATATCCTTGTGTATCTGCTGGCTGGTACTCCAAATTTGTATTCTGTGCACCAAATGTTCTGCGATTGGTCATTTTAACATGTCAGTCAAATGGTCCTATCCCATCTCAAAACCTACTGGGTCTGGCGTATGAGCCTGTTTTTCAGCAGTCTTGTGCAGTTTTCAGGAACTGGTGGAATTTGGTTTTAGGGTAGTATTTCCACACTAATAAAGTATTTTGAGCTTTGTGTTCAGCAGAAAAAAAATATTTCTGTTCTCTCCTTCTGTCTGTTCACTGCAGGTTTTCCCACCACTGTATTACAGGCACTGTCCTCAATTAGTCGAATAGTCTATGCAACCCCTAGTACTCATTATTATGTACTATATGATGGCTGGCCCTCTCTATTGATTATTTTTTAAATGTACATCTCTCATTGGCTAGATGCCACCATATATCACATCCATGCTCACTGTGAATAATGGGCTCTACCATTATTTTGGCTTTGAGCTATGGTGCACCAGTGTGCTAGAATACAGCACAAGACACACTATTATTTTTTATTCTCAATGTTTTAGTTGATTATCCTAGTTTATTGTTTTCTTTTGCTTGTTTTGATTGTTTTCTTAACATTTTAGTGTTTTTGTTAAACTTATTATTTTCAAGGCCTGTATTATTATTTTATTGTCTTATTGTTTTCTTCTCTAATTTTATTGTTCATCGTTGGGTTTTAATGTTGTACAGGGAGATTCACTCGAAAGAGGCTCCGACTATTCTGTAATAACTCTCGCCAGGATGAAGCAACCTGAACTAAACAACGTGCAATGTGCTCCTCAGTATATGGAGATTCGAACAAGCCGGGATGCCCCTGCGTCGGAGCGATGAAGTAGGCGCCGGACAGTCATCGCTACATTTAACCTCCATTGGCAACTTCCGGGTGCAGACCCCCGTACCCCTTCATGTGTCTGGCAGACAATAGAGATCACTTCCAGCATTGCATGTAATCCAATCAATTACACATACGTCAAGGTATGTACCATATTTTTTTGGTTCAGATTGCTTCATCCTAACGGGAGTTACAACAGTTACACAGGGCCTCTTGGGAGTAAATCTCCCTGTACATGTCCATGTCTTAACACGTTATCACTTTTTTGCTTCCCTTTGTGACACTCGGCTGCACTGAAAATGAGGATTATGCTCAATGTAAACCAAAGCATAAATAGAGAATATGATGATTATGTCGATGTATCCCTAGAAGTTACAGTTATCACCAGCGATGTTGTAATTTGGTATTAATTACATCAAATTTAAATGCCATTTCTTCCACACTATTTAATTAATCAGTATTGAAACCCAGATTCTGAACAGCAATGATAATAAAACTCGCCCTCACTCCTTGTCAATCTGGATAATGAATTGAAAACAACTTTTCGGGGTTCTACAAATACCAGAAAAAAAAACATGCTCTTTCTCAACGCTCCCACACTCTTTTCTTCTCAGAGTGAGAGAATGGTGTATGCATGTTCAGCTAGTCACAGTATAACCAATACTCACTACTTTAGATTAGACTTCATCACTGAAGTGGAGCAAACTATAATCATCTTCAGACAGATCAGCTTGTTCTTAAATTCGTGCTACAGACTGGAAATGCCAGGTCTTAATCCAGCACAGTTTGGTGATTTCCCTGCTCAGACACACTTGATCAAATATCAACAGATATAAAAATTCAAACTGGCCTCTTAGGCCACAAGCCAATGAATCTTGGAAAATAGAAACGTTACATATACCTTTATAAACTAACAAGTTTGCTTCAGTACCAAAAAACAGTCAGGTGTAGCTTTGAATAAGGAAATTTGTATTAAGAACATTGCTGGTGTGCTGACTATGGTGGTTCCCCCACTGAGCTGTCATCCATTCTAGGTTTAGCAACTGCAGTGATTATTTAACACCTTATGTTATTTAAGGTATTTCATGGAGTGTTATTTGCAAACTTGAGCCAATTATATGTCATCTATGGTGCCAGCGCATTTAAACTTTAGCACAGGCAGTGGTTACAGTTAACAAGTTACAACAAAATCTGACTTGATGCAATCAGTTCTGTGTCCAATCAAAAAGGGAAATAAACTCAACGGCCACTCGGGCAACAGACTCTGCAGTTTTTGTGGCCAGAATGTGAAAAGCTGTAAGCCTGGGGGACAGGCAATGTCTACCCCTGCACCCTATTAAATTCAGCTGTTAGTTACCAGATTTATTAGATGTGATGGAGCAGGTAAATCACCTGTGCTGGACCCAGCCCCTCCAGACTAGAACAGAACAGTGCCATAAATGTAAATAAGGTTTATTTCCCCTATATTCTCCTAATAAATGTTTATTACCTTTTAGCCATGGCCTCCTCCTTTGCGTTGATATCTTTCAGCATTGTTTTCATTGATGGAAGCTTTAGGAGTCCTATATAGCAACATAAAACAATACTATGTCATATGCATGCAGTAATTTCGATGAAACATGTTAAAACTCTTATTAATGGAAGAGGCCACACAAAGATACTGTATATAAAATGGCCATCTTATGACAGAGAAGTCACAGCTGATGTCATTTATTCAACTAAATCTCAAAGCTCATTAAAACCTTTCCAAAAACATTGACCCTCGTGTGATGTTCATGTGTTTGTTACTCAGTGGTCTGGTGAACCGCATTACTGGTTTGTTAAATCAATACAGCCATAACAATTTATGTAAAAATACTAAATGTTTAAAATATCACAAGTGGCCAGCGTAGGGTTCTCTTTTAGCAGCTGTAGCCAGTCAGCAGCCTGTACATGCTGTCCACCCTCACACACACACATATACAACCACATACACACACATATACAAACACATACACACACAGACACACAAACACACACACACTAACAGCAGGACATGTAAGAGGAGAACAGAGTGAAGGGACACAGCACCTCCACACCACGTGTAATATAAATGTGTAGGGGGTGTACAGTGTAAAGTTACTGAAAAATGTGTTATTGTATATGTTCTTCACAAAAAACGAGTAAAGGTCAGGGAATTTGAGGTTGAAATAATAATAAATCGCATAATTTTTCATTTTGGTAAACACTAAAAACGGGTCTCACAGACGCGAACACCACACAAGGGTTAAGCAAAGTTGGGCCAGCAAATGGGCTATTTTATGGCTTTAAACTCTCACCCTTAAAGACCCGTGTGGCCCAGCGACCTTGCATCTCAGAGATGGGCATGATGGCTCCTAGAGGCTGGATGAGGCCAATCACAGCCAGAGTTGGTCTCTCAAGGCTTGGAGGGAATAGGTGCTTATACAGTGACGTCTTGTTCCCTGTTACCGATATCACGTGATCAGGGCAGAAAAGGGAAGAGAAAGTGTAGCCTGTGGCAAACACCACCAGGTCAATGTTATCTTCGATAGTACCGTCCTCAAAGATCACACTGGAGCCACGGAACTCGCGCACATTGGGCTTGACCAGGACGGTGCCCGAGAGAATGCGGTTAGGCAGATCGTCATTTACCATGGGGTGCTGGCTAGTCAGCCTGAGGGAAAGATACAGGGAAACATTTTGGCTTGGTGAGTGCCTAATGTATGACACGTAACATAGACTAGACAGGCACACAGACTAGTATCAAATATTTAACTATGGGAAAATTAAAATAAAAATACAATAAATAAAAGCCATGGAGGGGAGCTAAAGAGATGTGTTAATGTCTGTACATATGCAGATAAAAATCTACTCATGTGCAGGTCTGAGTAGACTATAAAAACATTTGTTTTACAGAATATGAATATCTGTAAAAATATCTACAGTTATGCAAATAAGCATTTGTTACAGAGGGGTTACTGTAATACAGCAAAGAGGTTTGTTAGTTTCAGTTTAAACTTTTTTAATGAGTACTACAGCTCTGGGGAAAAAGCTGTTGGCATGTTTGGTTGTGCTGGTTTTGATGGCCCTGAATACCAGGGGGCAGCAGCTGGAAGAAGTGATGCCCAGGATGAGAGGGGTCAGTTGCTTAGCTAATCTGCATGAGAGACATCAACCTTTTACTGCGTCATACCTGTCAACCTAACCATAAAGGAAATAAGCAGAGGGGTGTTGGAAACCCTGAAGAATATTGTAAGTGAAACAGAGAAAGAGATCTTTGATGAACAGAGTTTTGTTAAGGCTGTGTGGGTGGGACAAATCACATCTGCCTTGTGATTGGTGAAGATACCGCTTACGAAAGCACTACCTAAGAATAGGACTGCCCTCATTACGAGATGATAACTTTATAAATACTTTGGATATTTATTGGCCGTTGAGAAGTTATTCACAAGTGTAACTGTCTCACAGACATGTTTCAATTAAATGTTCATTTTGCGTGTCTTTGTTGATAATCTGAGTTCATAAATCCATTAAAATGTCATATAAGATGTTAAAAAGGGGTAACATTGACAGAAACCACCCTTAAAATAATGTTTGATTACAAATTTAGCACTTTTTATGTAATGGTTCATTGTAATGTGGAGTATAACAGGTCACATTACCAGAGTTTAGATAAGGCCATGGCAATGACGGTCAGAAGCAACATTAATGCAGAGAAACGACTTACGGCCCTAAAATAACCTTAATGTGGTCCTAAAGGCGCACAGGGTAATTGTCCTCTACTTGTTCATACTGTGTATAATGACGTTGATGCGTCTTTACATGGACAATGTGATGTGTTTCAGTAATTTTATTACATTTTCTCACATTTCTGTTATGCTAACGTGTTGGGCTGCTAAAAGGTGAAGTAACACAGTAGTAAACATGCTTTTTTGGAAACGTGTTGCTGGCATCAAATTTGGAATGAGCCTATATTTACAAAGAAACAACAGAGTTCATGAAGGTAAGGCATTAAATGTAATGTTTTTGTGTTGTTTCCAATGTAATACAGGTCAAACAGAATTTACTAATCACTGCTTTCTGTTTTTATTAGCATTTCACACACTGTTCCAATCTTTTTGGAATTCGGTTTGTAGTTGCAACAACATACCGGTGGTCCGCACTGTCGGGGAAGGTGAGCAGGAGCGGAGAGATAGAGTGACGGGATAATACTGTGCAATGCAACGGTTATGACAACATCACACTATGCTTGCATGCTGCCTCCTCATGGTATGGTGCCTTGTTGAAGCGAGAAGGCTTGCGTGAGGCTAGCAGAGAACTATGCTGCCTGGAGTTTTGACCCCTTTCAGGGTCTCACATGGCAGAAAGATCTTACCAGAGGTGCTAGATGAAACCTGCCACCTATATTGGACTGCAGTAATATAGGGCACTGTCAGAGGGCAGAAGGCACTCATTATATATAAACGAGGAAGAGCTAAGGATTCCACTGAAGAAGACAGGACATTCTGGAGAAACACTTTCCATATGAAAGGGGTTACGCCTAGGCAGACTCGCTAATCTGGTTTAATGTTAAATGTAGTATTATTTAATATTTTAACAGAACGTTAAACACAGTAAAAAAGGTTGCAGATACATAAGATTTACTTGTTATATATGTTTTAGTATGTCTAAACGTAAGTAGTTGTGTACTCCAGTATAGTTATGGCTTCATTTTTCCTATTTTAGAGTTTAATTGAGTAAGGCTTCGACACAATACCCATGCTTTCACTTAAATTTTTGTGTTTGGCAAAAATGTTGTTTTCCATTTACCCCAAATGTAGTCATTAGGCCAAGACATGTTATAGTTGTCCAGATTTTGCTTCTTTAGCTTAGTGCTGGAGCTACAAGGCTAATTGTGCTGGAGCTACAAGGTTAACTGATAAGTAAATGGCCACCCAATTTTGTTTTTTGCAAATACATCCTTATAACTTCTCTTAGCCCACCCATCCACATCATTTTTTTATAACAGTCTCACAGACCTGTCTAGTTAGACTTAATGTGAGCTATGAAATGAACAAAACTTCAAAACAACAGCTGTTGGGCCGACATGTGTGGATGTACACGTCACACGGGCATATGGAATCTTCCAGATTACATTACCCTTTGGTTTCTTTTTAGAAATAAATGTTAAAGTTGAATTTTCAGTCTGAAGATACATGCTTAGGAATAGAAACAACAGAAATCACAAACTTAATCCAGCATCTATACGTGGGTGTGTGTGCATGTGAAGCGGAGTTGGCTTCTGTGGGGGAATTCAGCCCAAAATTTGTTGTCTAAATTAGCTGCCCGCAGTTATTTAAGTACAGTCTCTCTGTAGTTTCCATCTCTGCGTATTAGTGTGTAGCCTGCTCTCCATCTTAAGTAGTTCTAGATTTACAAATAATATGTAACGTGTAACATCTCTCACTGTATAAATGCTACCATCCATTTTGGCTGCCAGATTAAATGTCAGACATTACATTCTGAGCTTCAATTTAAGGAAATGCAGGGGGATATATGCCTAATTTTGGAACACAATTATTAAAAGAAATATTATCCACATCCAACGTATAGAATGAAAATTAAGTATCCTTGTTTAACTGCTGTTTTACGAAAGGTCTTCATCTGATTTAAAATCCACATTACTGTTACACTGGACTGTTAGGATCTGGACCAGATTCTCTGTAAATGGTCTGTAAACTAGGTTCAATGTCAACTGTGAAAATTCTGATGCAAATAATTAAATAAATTGATTTGTATTGAATTACCATACCTGTGTTTTGGCTGCAACCCGTACAGTGCGTGGTTGAACCTCTGATTGAGCCTCTTCTCTCCCAGGCTGCTGGTGAAGCTATAGGGTAAAAACCTCTGTATCATTCGAGCTGCTCTGCTATAAGACATGTCTAAGGGAACACCCTTAGGCCCCACACGATTCAGAATCCAGGAACCCCTCCTAGTGCTCAGAAAAACCTGGAGAGACACAATACATTCATTTTGAGACCAAAGTCCCACTGAAAAACCAAAAGTGGTAATAAGTGTGTCCTACCTTCTCTGTTCTGTAGGAGACATAATCTATCTTAGAAATCCATTGTGTTCTTTCTAGCTTCACAATGTTGGACATAACACTCTTGAAAACGTGAATGATTTTTGGCTTAGATGTATGATTTTCGGAAAAACCTTTAATTGGTACAGACCCTTTACACGATGTAGAGATTTTATTTACTGAGAACATTCCTCACTCTTAATATCTTAATTTATAGAGCACTTTTCATACTGGTGGCAGATTAAAGTGCTTCACAGACAGGTAATAAAAATGATCAGTAATGGAAGAAATTAAAGTTGAATTTTCTTCTCTTTTATTATTGTTACTGTTTGGTATCAGCAATATGAGAATGTGAAGGATTTATATAGATTAAACTAGAAAAGTGCATTTCCTGAAGAAAATGCAGTGATTGCACAGCTTAAGCAATTCCCAGGTGTTTCTAGGTTGTTGTTAGATGGTTGCCATATGGTATATCAGGGGGTTGCTAGCGTAGTGCTGGGTGGTTGCTATGGTTTCCATGGTGGTTGTTAGGTGGTTGTTATGGTATCCCATGTGCTATGGTATCAGGTGCTTTCTAGGGTGTTGCTAGGTGGTTGCTATCGCACTTCAGATGGTTGTTGGGGTTTTGCAAGAAGGTTGCTATGGTATCGCAGGTAGTTACTAGGATGCTGGTAGGTGCTTGCTAATGTATCCCAGGTGGTTTCTAGGATGTGGCAAGGTGGTTGTTAGAATGTTGCTAGTTGGTTGCTATGGTACCCTAGGTGGTTGCTAGAATGTTGCTAGGTTATTGCTATGGTACCCCAGGTCGTTGATGGGGTGTTGCTAGATGGTGGCTATGTTGATCCATATGGTTATTTGTGTTGCTTAGGGGTTGCTATGGTATCCCAAATGGTTTCTATGATGTTGCTAAGCATTTGCTACGGCTTCCCACATGGATGTTCTGCCATTCATTCCCACGGGAAAATCATTCAATGAATCATTTAACAAAAATTTTAAGAAACCATGCGTCTGAACAAAAACCTATACACAAGAACACTAACAATGTCGATATCTCGAAAACTGCAGGATGAATTAGTGGAAAGAAATCTGGTAGAGAAATAAGGAAAAAAAAGAAGAAGATATCGTTTGATAATAATCGTGTTAGCTGATGTCAGAATTGAAAAGCAATGCGTAATCACTAATTAGAAAGATAATAATTTAAAGGCTAAATTAAAGTAATGTGTTTTCAAATGCTCCATGAATGTGTGCACCAAGCTTCACTGCCTAATAATAGGTGGAAATGAATTCCACAGTTTGTATTTTAGGGAACTTGTGCAGAAGACCAGTATCTGCAGTTTAAGGATCACATATTAGAACATAAACAGACAGACATTCAGAAAGGTACTAAGGTACTCGGCTGTTTAGAGCTTTAAAAACAAGTAAAAGAAGTTTAAAATTGACTTCGAGCTCTCTTTTGTTTTTGTTAGGTTCTGTGCTGCTGCATCTTGTACAAGTTGTGCATGTATTGTACAAACATATAAAACTGGATGTGTTGTTTTCTTAGGGAGTCCAGCAAAAAGAGCTTGACAGTAATCAATTCTTCATGTAACAAATGCATGAACAAGTTTCTCTGCATCACTCTGGGACAGTAGAGGCTTGACTTAAGCCATATCAAGTTTTAAAATTAAGGGAATGCATTTACACATGGGACATAACAATGTTCAGAGTCTAAAATTACACCCAGATTTCATACTTCAGATTTGGTATGCAAAGGACATCTCATTTCCAAAAATCGTTCTTTAAAGAACAATCAATTGAAAGATCTAGGATTTCAAAAAGTCAAAAAAATGCCAAATGTTAGCATTAATTGACTTTTCTTGCTCTGGACAGTCCTGACAAATTATAACATTTAACATAGTTACATCATAAATTCATATGATATTGTTTCTTAAAAGCTGTCCAAAATAGCTGAACACGAACCTTTCTGATTTTATGGGTTCCCAGCATGTTTACCTTTTCTTCCACCAGGTGGCGGTAGTGAGTAGCTCAAAGACAACAAGTCTTGTGCTGGAGGCAGCCTATAATGACTGGTGCCTACATTTTACATTTTCTCAGCACCTTTTCATCCAGATGGACTAAAAATCTCAATAATATAATACACTAGTCTTGCTGTAGTTGTGTTGGACTCACCTGCTTGGTCATCCTGCTAAGCTCCACAGCGATGTCGCCTCCTGAATTGCCTATTCCAATCACAACCGCTCTCTTGTTACGCCATTCCTCTGGAGTCTTGTAGTCTCGGCTATGGAAGTATTTCCCCTTAAACGTGTCTAGACCTGAAGAGAAGTGAATTGTTTTTTTTTTTCAAAATCTAATCTTAAGATCATCTACTGTCCCGACTTTTATTTAAGATGCTTAAGATGCTAACATCCTGATTAGTTTCTCAAACTGCTATTGAGCAATTCTAGCCTACATGTTTGGTTTGTAAGCAGCCACTCGTTGCAAATCCAGACACAATGTCTCAACTGGGTTAAGGCCTCAACACTAAGTAAGTTACTGAAAAACTACAAGTTTCTTCTTCTTGAGCTTGATGTGGAAATTTGTAAAACTCTCTGATGCTGACTAGAACACGTATTTCCACCAATAATGGCAAGTCACTTAGGTCCTAATGCAGAAAAACACCTCTGGCTAGTGCTAGTCAGTTTTGATAAGCTTATATACAGCTGTACACCCTTGTTTAAATTACCCATTGTGTTAATTTTCTAAGTGAAAGCAAGTTAACACATCCTCTACAAGGAACCTGCTTACATTTGACATTTTTCTGCAAATTTCAGTGCACAATTATATTCCTTTGCCGAGTTGAGCATATTAGAAAAAAATAAAACAAGTAAATGTATAAAAAATGTACAATGTGCCATAACTTTTGCACAGGCCACATTTAACAGTTTATTTCCTTTACCAATATGTGAAATTCAGCAAATAATCAGTAATTTGTGCAAGCGTGTGTTCTCTGTAGAAAATCAACAAAACGTGTAATTTGACCAAACCTTTATCACTAATATCAATTAATATATCAACATTTTACATATTTATCACAGTATCAGATGACGTTTAAGCTTGCACCAATATGCTTCCTGAGTACTGGTACTATATACTAAAACAACACCTTAAAAACCTGGCATACTTTGTTTGGGATGGACTATTTTGCTCTGATACTTTTAGCATTGCACCAAATAATAAAGTTATTGAATTGAAACCGTTACAGACGACTAACAGAACTTTGCCGTTCTTTTCTCTCTGGGTCTCTTTTACCCTGGCAACCCACAAAAACAAACAGAACCAATTCCATTAAAAAAAGATACGACAAGTACAAGTACGACAATATGACACAATCTTTTTCAGTCATCATATTCAAAACCAATTAGACCAGTACTGCAGCATAAGCAATGCTTAGAGACACTGCAGATAGGATTTTGCTAATTCACACAACGATGTTTAAAAAAATCTTGCTCTGATATCCTATTTTGAGAGAACATGTTGCCCCTTAAACCTACTATACTTATAGAAATTTCAACACAGAGTTCTGGCATTGCCTCTGTGGCATCTGTACACTTACTAAACACAGTCCAAAGGTCATTCTTGGGCTGCTGCCACGGCTCCTCCAATATTGACATTATGTAATAATGTTCAGCCATCCTATCTCACACGTACCAGTAGACGTGAGCTTTTATTTACAAAAAAACAGACCTAATCTGCTACTTTAAAGACAGCTTTATATCAGGTTTGAGGGATCTTATCATGGCCCATTTAGGCCTGCTCAGTCTTTACGTCAAAGTTTGCATTAGCTGGTAAACTCTTTTTTGACCAGAAAAAAAAAACTTAAATCCAGCAAATACACAATGTCTGGCAAACAATAATCACCAAATTGTTTGCTAAATAAAATAAATAAAATACCACAATATCTTCTATTAATCTACATGTCTTAATTATTGAAGCACTTTACTCTGCAGGAAATAATGCGGTTGTTTTAAAGTAGCTGCTTAAATGCAGCCAATTTCTACACAAATAAAGCTCACACTCGGGTGTCTGCTACGATACCCTCCCACCGGAGGTCAATGTACAATCATGCTGTAGAGCAGACAGTCAACCCTTAAACACCATAAGAGATACTGATCGTGAAAGTAAAGAACATGCAGAGATCCAGGAGAGGTGTGAACTAGCTGGCCTATCACGTCATGTTTCTTTATGTTGCGTTTGGACTGTGCAGGCTTATTGACTTTCAAATGTAGGTTTATTTATGAGAGTTGCATGTTTTTGTTACACACATTAATAATTAATTTTACTTGATGGTGCCATTCTTGTTGTGAACAATGTAATTGTTTTTGCAAAAAGCAAAAAGAATGACATAGTTATGCAATTGTACCTGGAAAGTCTTTCAAAGGGAGGTGGGGGTGACAGTGGTGTCCAGTGCAGACCAGCACAGCATCAAATACATGTTTCTCTCTGTTCCCTTCATTGTCCTCTGTCTCTATGTCCCACTGACCAGAATGAGCAAAGTCTGGTCTTGGAGTGACTCGAAGGACTTTTGTCTGGAATTCAAAGCAAAGCTTATGAACGCACTTACATAACAACTGTGCCATTGAATTGGTAAGTGATACATTTGGCCAACAATCTTTCTTTCATGTATAATTATATGCACATGTGAGCATTCACTGAGTTCACATACATACAGTGAGAGCTTGGCAACTTCACCCACCCCTGCCCCACTCAACTCCCTGCCCACCCAAGTCCATCACACTCAGTTTGCTTCATGTATTGGTAAACATTAATCATTGACATTACTTGCTGTAGTCTGCATAAACAACGGTCCCAAAGTTCTACCTTAACAATGCAAATACTTTAACATGATGGCAGCCATTCAGTACAACTGGCAAAGATTTTGTTAGCTCACCTGTAAGCGAATGTAGCGTGTGAGCTGGAAGTGCTCAGCATACATACGGAAGTATTCCATGATGTATGAGTTGTGCATGAAGTTTGGGAAATGGCCTGGGATGGGGAAATCACTGTAACACATCATCTCCTTTGAGGTGTTGATGATCACTGAATGGTAGATGCTGGCCCTGTCTGGCTCAGGATTCTCCTGGGGATGTAAGGAGGGAGTATGAGGGAAAAAAAAGAAATAAGTGAAATACAATGAATACAATGATGTGCAAATCATTTAAACCCTATATTAAATTGAAAACAGTAGATAGATCTTCCCTGAAAAAGACGTCGTCTGAATGGCAGCATATCACTGCTGACCAATGAAAAACATGTATCTCCATTTTTTTGCGATTTTTACTTTTCTGCATCATTTGAGCTCCGCAGCTGTCCTTTACATTGTATGAAAGTTTCATGAAGACTGGACCAATAGAAATGCTCCAAAACTGCTTAGAATAAAATCACTTTCCATCAACTTACATTGAAATAAAGAACGTTTTTGCCCTCTCCTGTAAAGTTACTATTTTGGAGATACTTGTTTTTCTTTGTACAAATTAGGCACACGTTCACTTCATCTCACCTTAAACCTCCAGAGTCCTCCGATGTCATTACTGCTCTCAAAGCACACTGGCTCCAGCCCCTCGTCCAAGCAGCACTTAATGCAGGCCAGTCCAGAGCTGCCCCCTCCAATCACAGCCACGCGTTTAGCCATACTGAGGGTTTAACAGGTTTTTGTGATAAAACACTTTTCAGAGCATTTCACTGATATTGTCAATATTTAATTAACCCTGACCACCAGCAAATATCATTAAAAGAGTTTCGCCCTATGGTTGCACGTCCATGAAAGCATAATTGACCTTGCTTAACTGGATGTAGTGATGCAGAGTAAGTAACAGGACAAACAAACATCAGGATACATATCTTGTGGCATGAAAACTGTGATATTATGTTGTTGCCCTATCGCCCACGCCTACAGACAGGAGCAATGAAACAGAGAGTTTAAAAACATGACAAGAAACGGTCATCCAACGCTCATGAATAACGATAAATATAGAAAATAAATTTTTCTTTAATATTTACTAGAAAACTGCAGTGCGTGGTGCAGTACAACCCACTGAATTTAAAACCCAAATGTGTTGTTTAGTCAGTCACTGAAGTCAAGGCCTGTAACCAAATCATGAATACACAGCCCATCAAATGACATAAAAGACTAATCACACGTCATTTGCTACCTTGGGATTAATACCATACCTCATCACCCTTGATGTGATGTCAGCACTAATATCTTTAAAGACAGTGGTTGCATGAACATGAACGGATCAGCAGTATCCTTAGTAACGTTACATAACGAGTTGGGGGTGGGGGGCTGGACTTTTTCATGCCCTTGAAAAAAAAAATTAGCGGGGCTTTTGCCCCAGACCATTAGTACGTCGTAAACAGCTGTGTCATGCCATCTTTGCAAGTAAGAGAAAAGAACCAACGAGAAATTTAGCATTTCGGGCATGACGTGAAAATATACACAAAGGAGCATTATCACCATCACCATCACCATCACCATCACCCACTGTCTTAAATAAACAGCTCGCTAAAAACAGCACAGAGGCGCAGGGCAGGGCGGTGTGACGGTATTAGTTTTGATCTGAACATGTCTGCTCTGATTTGTTGTATGAAGTTTTCTCTATTACCCGAAGTGGTGGGACTGTCTGTCGGACAGAGAGCACTCAGAACACCGCTGAGCCAGAACTCACCGTCTGTACCCCCCAAATATCAGAGATTACGTTTTACGCTGTCTGAGCTTTGTCGTTGACAGAGCGGTGGATGCAGATGTAGATGAGTTAGTTCGTTTGGTCACCGTAAAGATAAAGCGGTGCTGCTTCACTGCCCGCATATCAAGATATTCGGATTCATTCGTCACGATGTGTTAATCAAAGCTGCAAAACTGAACTGTCGGTGCAGACAGACTTACCTTACTGTCGAGACGGCAACAGTCAAGCAGAGTGAAGTTCACAGCGGAATTTCTCACCATCCCAGTTCCTAACCGCTGAAGGGGCGGGGAGAGAGGAGGGTGGGGGGTATAGAGACCTCATGACTCTCAGGTCTGCAGGGGTTCAGTCCCAAAGTGGCATCTGGCAGCAGGAAGTGGCAACTCCGCCGTCCGGAAATGGCACATACTGGCATGTGCCACTTAGCGAATGGCACCTGCCACCGATAACTGGTAACGAGTGGCACAAGCCGCTCGTCCCATTTGGTTAGTGGCACTCGCCAGTGGCACCTGCCTCTTTGAAACGGCGAGGAGCGCAGGCTTGTGTTCTTGGTTTTTTCAGGAGTGGCACTAGCCTTTTACTGAGGGGAAAGCCATTGGCATGTGCCGCTCAGGAGTGGCAATCAGTAGCAGCACTAGCTGCTTATCACACAGTGGAGAAAGTTCCAAGGTTTGAAAATAGTTCTTGATTAGCCTGCATCACACAGGTAAATGCCCCAGTTGAAAGTTTGATCTCAAACGTAAGCAATATTGGTCAATAACTGTATTCAGTAATTCTTGTGAATGTGTTTCTGTTACTAATTTCGGAGTTCCTGAGCTAGTGCGTAACATTTACAGTTACAAAGCTACCTCGCCACATTTGCAAGTATTGTAGTGTTGTTCTGATGGTTTATGGGGTATTTAAAGTTTGAATTATGTGAGTAATCTTAAAGCACGTGCAATGTAAAATAAAAGGAACTGTACTGGTACATTTTTTAATGTACAATGTAAATTTAACCAAATGTGTACCTTAAATATGCTTTTCCCAGGTAAAGGTTATATATTTGTTCATTTGCATAATCTAAAACAGAACAAGGGGGCAATCAATCAATTTTTTGTCACGTTTTGTGATAGTTTCCACTACTGACTCCCTTATGAACAGCATGAGGCGCTATTTTCAAAACTTAGCACTTGGTAACATGTAAATATAATTATCTCCCCCACCACCCAGCAAAATGCTGGCCAACAGTAAATGGCTAGTGCCACTCCTGAAAAAATAATAAATAAAAACCAAGAACACAAGCCTGCGTTCCTCCTGTCCTGTTTAATAAATACGCTGATAAATAGTCTATACATTAGATTTAGCATGAATAACACAATGAATTCAGTAATTAGTTCGAGTACATCTGTAACACGAGCTGCTTTCTTTAGCTCTCCGTGCCACAACAAAAGCCCAAAATGACAGACTATCTGCACAGAGTCTTTAGGTCAACATTCCTCCATGACTTTTCCCAGGTTCTGATGGCCGATGGTGGAGCTATGATGTGCTGCTAGTTAGCCCAGCCGAGTAGCCGCTGTCCAGAGTCTTTGCTTTACTCACAGGAGCTGTTGGTATGTGCCTGTTTTGAGAGGCACACGCCGTTTCTGTGCGGCAGGTGCCACTGGCGAGTGCTACTAACCGAGTGGCACGAGCGGCATGTGCCACTCGTTACCAGTTGTCGGTGTCAGGTGCCATTCGCTAAGTGGCACATGCCAGTACGTGCCATTTCCGGACGGCGGAGCTGCCACTTCCTGCTGCCGGATGCCACTTCGGGACTGAACCCCCCTCTCTCTGAGGTTGCCCCTTCCCCCACAAAAAACCAATACGAATTCTCTAATTACAATTTGTACATGTTATTATTGTTGCAAAAAAACTCTCCTTCACAACCACTTAAAGGGGCACTCCAGCCAAATTTTTTAAATGTAATCATTTATGTTGTAAGCCTGCTCACTCGCTTCCTACTGTAGTCGTCGGACCAGGGGTCGGCAACCTAAACTAAACAAATACGAAGACTTAGACACTTCGCTCTGCTTTAAGCTTTAGCTCAGCGACAGCCGGTTTTTCAGGCATTTCCGACAGGAAACTGTTCCGAAAGTGGAACAGCTAACTAACCTAGTTGCTTGTAAATTGTCTGCCAACGTTCGACCTTTTACGAGGCTGAAGTCGGCCTCTTACTCACCAGCTTATTGTTCTAGTTGTACCGTTCCACCTTAAATGGTGCAGCAGACAAAAATTCGAATGTGAAAATTCGAAGGAGAAGCTGGCGAACGAGGAGCTGACTTAAGCTTCGGGTCTGTTTAGTGTTTGTCAGTTTCTCTTTGCAGGAAAAAACGTATCAGTAAACAAGCTGGAGTGATTATACAAGCAAATAAGGCCATTCGTCTCCGAATAATCGATGCTGGTCTTAAATCTTGCTCTTTGCCGTTCCGTTAGCTACCAGCCAGGCCAGACCAGAGCCGTGTGCGTTGTGTGATAGAGAAAGTCGCGTCAACGGACGTTCAAAATGCTTGATCACGTGATTCACGTAGACTTCATATAGTTCCAGACAAGTTCCAGTTTATGGGTTTGAATTACGGGCAATTCAAACCCATAAACACTCCGCGACAGAACTGCGTCTTTCGGTACTTTAAAGTCAATAAATGCACTGATTTACAATATTTATATAGAAAACCAACGTGTGTGTGTGTAGTTACAACAATCTGATATATTTTAAAGTCAAATTCGCTACTATCTGAGGATTAAACAGCTGTCGTTACCTGCCTTTTTGACATGTTAGGTTAATGTGAACATGGTTTCAGAGTGTGTTTCGTCGTTTCATTGCTTTAATTGACTTTTCAGTATTATAGATATTATGTTCTTAAACTTGTATGGTAGTTAAGATCAGTCATATCCTAATGTTTACTGATATACTTGGAGGGGAGGGGAAGGAATGTTTCAAAATTGAGATCAGATTATTTCAACATAAATATAATTAACATAAATACATCTTTAATTAATGGTTGTTTCAGTAATCCCAAGGCCTAGATCATTTTAATGACTTGATGACTACTGTAAACTCTATGACTTTCTGAAAGGACAGAAGGAGAAGGAGCTAAAGAAATTTGTTTGGCTTGCATATTAAAAAATCTGTGTTAAAAAGCGTACATTAAAACACATCACATCCAGACAGGACAGGACATAATGAACACATCTATTTATATTTGTTTGTACACATATTTTATATATCTTGTCTTTTTACTATGCACGTATTTACTGCGATGGATTCATTAAATAAAGCTATAATGAACTCAAACATGAATAGCCTGGCGGCAGTTTGTCTGTGCCCTTTTCTCCATGTTGTCCTTGCATATAGTCCCCACCATGGTTTGCTCTGCTGCATGGAGATGCTTCAGTCACTCGGAGAAAGGAGTGAAATGTTTGGTTTCTCCACCGACACAGAGAGAAGAAAAAACTGCTGGCTCAAGTCAGCAGGAGCAATTACTGAATTACTTACCATCACTAAAGATTACAACAACAACGTGAGACTGCATACATTTCACAAAGAAAAGCCACACCACTGGGAAGCTTAATGTTTTATTTATTAAAAATAAGGAACAGGTAAAGAATTGCAAAACCCAGGGAGTTGAGACTCAGGGTGCAGGGTGGGGGTGCTGTCTTTTTGAAGGGAGTCTGTGGCTGAGCTGAACCCCCCTGTGGTTCTTGCCATTAATCCAAAATCAACTAAACTGCAACATAATGTACAGATAACAGTCAACAGAATCACAAAGCCTGCAAACACTCAATCCATAAGTCTTATATTTGTTTACTCTCTAAAGTCTCCAATATGCGCTCTAAATCCACATCAATAGTGACGTATCACGAAAACAGCTCTTTCTTTTTATTGTGTAACTTACATTAGCTCGTGCTCCAAAATGGATAACGATATTCTCATTTTATCTCCTCCACCACCTCCACTCTACAAGCTCTGCCCCAGTGTTATATTGAGCTAATACTTAACTCCCACCCACCCCCTGAAAAATCATGTTTAGAAGCCTTTTCTAAGATTGAACAACAGTGGTTAAAATGACATTAAGAGCAGTGGTTTTACAATTACTAGGCTGTTTATGGTTAACATTATGTGCTGATAACTTTACTCAGTACCCCAGCCTAATCTGTTATCTGTTAATGTTCCTTAAATCTACTAATTTAATCGGGGATAATCCACTGACATACTTTAATATACATGTTAATTTGATTCAGATGTGCTTATTATATACAAACTGATTCTTTAATTGTCTTACCCTTTTAAAATGCATCACAACCGGTCTATTCTGCTGCAACTCGGCCGTGCTGCTAGTATTTGCTGCTAACTTCCGAGAACTATTGAGAGGCTCCACGATCTGCCATTGCTGTAAAAAAATGGTCCATTGGAGTGAACGGAGCTGACGCAATCTCTCCTTATACGGCTCTGGGCTAGACTGGTATCTGAGTTGCTATGATGACCAACTGTCGTCAACGCGCCAACCCTTAGGGTCAAAGGGTGAGCTAGGAGTTACACGTTAACTCCAATGTTTAAAATC